AGGGGAACTATCAATAACCTCAGATAAGCAGATGACACCATACTAATGGTAGAAAGCAAAGAGGAACTAAAGAGCCTCTTGATGATGGTGACAGAGGAGAGCGGAAAAGATGGCTTAAAACTCAACATTCAAAAAACTAGGATCGTGGTATCCAGTCCCATCACTTCATGGCAAATAAAAGGGGAAAAAGTGGAAGCAGTGACAGGTTTTCTTTTTTGGGGCTCCAGAATCATTAAGGATGGTGACTGCAGCCATGAAATTCAAAGACACTTGCTCCTTGGAAGGAAATATATGACAAATCTAGATAGTGTATTAAAAAGCAGAGATATCCCTTTGCTGACAAAGATCCATCTAGTCAAAGCTATGGTTTTTCCACTAGTCATGTACAGATATGAGAGTTGTACCATAAAGAAGGCTGAGTGATGAAGAACTGGTGTTTTCGAATTGTGGTCCTGGAGAAGACTCTTCAGAGTCCCTTGGACAGCAAGGAAATGAAACCAGTTCATTCTAAAGGAAATCCACCCTGAATATTCACTGGAAGGACTGATGCTGAAGCTGAATCTCCAATACTTTGGCCACCTGATGTGAAGAACCAACTCACTGGAAAAGACCCTGATGCTGGGAAAGACTGAGGTGGTTGGACAGCACCACCGACTCAATGGTCATGAGCTTGAGCAAACTCCGGGGAATAGTGAAGGCCAGGGAAGTCTGGTGTGCTGCAGTCCATGGGGTTGCAAAGAGTTGGATATGACTTAGCAGCTGAACAACAACAATACTTTCAGATGAAACTGAGATTGCGGGGATACTCTTTTGCCCCCTTCTGATGTCAGAAGCTTTCTCTATCTCCTTTATACTTTAATAAAACTTTATTACACAAAAGCTCTGAGCGATCCAGCCTCGTCTCTGTCCCCGGATTGAATTCATCTCCTCCGGAGGCCAAGAATCCCGCGTCTCATCGTTCAGCAACAACCTTTCATCTTGGGGGCTCGTCCGGGATCCTTCAGGACAAGATGGGCCTGATAATCTATGTGAGCCTACTTCTGCTGACTCCAGAAATCCTGAGTCTGCCGTTTGATCCTCAAGACAATGCCTTCCTGTCCTGGGCTCACTCTTATGCTGCATTCCACAGTCTAACTGCTGGGTCTGTGGACCACTCCCTTCTTCATCCGTGAAAGGCGTCCCATGGTGGACATCTCCACTTCAAGGAAAGGACTTTCTCCAAGTCTGCAAATACCTTCAACAATCACATGTGATGCCTCTTCTTAAACTGATGACATCTAACAACCTTAAGATAGACTGATGTAACTATGGACATAATGTGACTTTTGATTTTAACTTGGTTTAATGACTATTTTGCCTTACATCTATAACTGTATAATGGGGTTTTCTAACCGTCTAAAAGCTTTTAATTTACAAATAGTTGTCCGAGCTCCTATGAGTCCCACAGCCTCCTCCAACTATTACTTGGGGCCCCTGGATCAGACATCCTCACTATGAGGATTAGGAGAATATGTTGCCTCACCAATTTAGGGACAACGCCCCTTGTCAGCTCGGAAGCAGTTATGGAATGAGAATGACGCCCCTTTTCCCTACGCAACATCCTCCTAAAAGAAAAGGGGGGAATGAGAGTCATTTCCTAGACAGGTTGATAAGAAGTCTAGGGGTCCCCAAGGAGAGAGAGGTCTGGGATATTCAAGGAGGAAGAAAAAACTTTTTTACTTTTTTTCCTCTACATTCCTTAGGATTATATAACAATAATGTATCCTGCCTGAGGACAGTCTTTGGATTAAACCCTCTGGCCAACTCTGTTATCTTAAAATGTAAATTATGGGAGTAGGTCTGGTGAGGTCTTTACAACCTCCAGATATTCTTTGGATTCATTGGAGAGTATATAACTCCATTGCTAACACTAGCAAACGGGGTACTCTTTTGCCCCCTTCTGATGCCTATGTCAGAAGCTTTCTCTATCTCCTTTACACTTTAATAAAACTTTATTACACACACACAAAAAAAAAAGAAACTGAGATTGCCAATATTCAAGGGAGGGTAGCTTATTAAATGACTGGGAACCCTAAAATCTACCTGGTTGATTTTTAAAAAGCATTTGAATCAGGTTTTATTAATACAGAATAATCTACAACCTAAACATCTACCAGAGGAGTTTACAATACTCAAATCACCTGGGTATCAATTTACACCATCTTCACTCACTAGAAAAACTTCTAAATGCTTATTTCTGGAGGCAGGTAAAATAACAGAGGAGACTGCACTTCAGTGATAAATATATTTATATGTACAGAGATATAGAGATGGTTTTTTGGTAAAATACTTGTACCTAATATCCAGACAATAATACACATTGCCAATAATTTGGACCTACTTCAGAAGCTCACAGGTGTTATAATATTTCACTTTCTTAACAGAGGACCACTAAGAAGATTCACAGCCTGGGTTACATATGAGTTTCAGGTGCATGGTGTTCTCCAGAAGGCCTTCACTAATGGAAAGCAGCCCATGTCAGCAGATATTCCCATATTTGCCTTCTCACCTCCATCTTGGTGAATTTCCCCAATTGTAAGCCTTGGCTAACTTGTTAACAGGGATTCTGACACCATGGAGTTGTTAATAAAGTAAATGGTTTATGCTCAAGAATATATAAGGATGTATTTTGGGCTTCCCTGGTGGCAAAGAATCTGCCTGCCAATGCAGGAAATGTGCGTTTGATCCCTGAGCTGGGATGATTCCCTGGAGGAGGAAATGGCAACCCATTCCAGTATTCTTGACTGGGAAATCCCATGGACAGAGGAGCCTGGTTGGGTACAGTACGTGGGGGTGTCACAGAAGAGTCAGACACACCTTAGCAACTAAACAATAACAATTTTACTTTCACTATAGTATTCCTCTAAAGGCTTAAATTAATTGCTTTTACTGAAAAGACCAAACATACTATCTGCAGTCCTAGACTTCACTAATAGTTTCATCCTTACCTGGAATGCATTCTTCATTCACTATACATTCAACTACACTTACTATTCACTCACCTAATGTTTAGTGAGTGTTTATACCATCCGCCAGACATTGCTCCAGCTACTGGCACTAAACAAAACATTCAGTCAAAATTACTTCTCATTAAGCAGCTTTCATTCTAGTTGGGGGGGGAAGATAGCAAGTAAAACATGTGGTATGTGAGATTATGATAAATGCTATGGAGAAAAACAGAGACGACAGGTAGAAGAGATGGGTGTGGTGTAGTTTAGTCAGGAGAGGCCTCCTGAGAAGTAACATCTGAGAAAAATCCCAAAGGTGAGGAAGTGAGCCATGTAGGTCTCTCTGAAGGTAGTATTTCAGAAAAAGGAAAGGCTTTGAAGTGCATTCTGGTGTGTTCAAGGAAAGGAGAGAGTAATTAGCAAGTGAGTCAGAAAATTGAGTGGAAAGCAGATCATATAGGGCTTTGTAGACCACCTGTGGCTTTTACCATGACAGAAATGAGAAGCTGCTAGAGCTGTTGCTGCTGTTTAATCACCAAGTCGTGTCTGACTCTTGCGACCCCATAGACTGTAGCTCAGCAGGCTCCTCTGTCCACGGGGTTTCCCAGGCAAGAATACTGGAGTAGGTTGCTATTTCCTTCTGCAGGGGATCTAGCCCACCCAGGGACTGAACTGGGAACGTGGATTCTACACCTCTGAGCCACCCGGGAAGCCCCAGGCTGCAAGAGGATTTTGAGCAAGTACGTGACATGATCACTCCTGGTAATGTGGGGAAAAAAATGAAGGTGAACAGGAATATAAGAGCTCATTATGCAATGTGTCAGTAGCAGATAGAAATCTATTACTGTTTCTTTGAATTTCAAAGGAAGGAATCAAGTACAGCCAAAATCCTTTCTGTAGGCCATATTAATTGTAACCAGTTATATTCCTACTCAGATTTATACGCAGAAGAACTTAACTACAAGAGACACAACTTTCAACTTGAAAATTCTTGATGGCTTATTTCTGTTAGCTCCTCAGAATTAATGGTTTGCCAACTATCAAGACACTTAGCGAACAGGTATAAACTATCAGTTTTATCTAACAGGTGTAAACCAAGCTGTCAACAAAGTTTCAAAAAATACGACAAAACTAACATTATCTAAGGTGGAAAAAAAAAGTGCAGAAGCAGTATTTTTTTTTTTACTCATACTTTCACGGGGTAAGTGGAAAGTACATAAGCGTGTTCTACTAAACATGAAACTAATAATGCATTGTTTAAAAACACTGGTCTACCAAGTAACTGGAAAAGTGTTCATTCGTTTTGCCATTCTTACATCCCATCCCAGCATGCCAAGGGTGGAAATCATTATCTAGGCATCTCTTTTCAGATTAGTTCACAGGAGAGAAATGGCAGACTGGAACCTGCTCCGAAAAGAATATTTAAATTTTGTAATTGTAGTGGTAGGGCGGAAAGATGAAACTCTCAACATTAAAATGAGAGAGAACCGAACCATGCACAGAAACAAACGCGAAGACCTCATAGATGGCAACAGAGGGCGGGAAATGCCAAGGGCCAGATCTTGTCGCCACGGCTTTCCGAGACCCAGTAGGAAAGACACAAGAGCAGGACCGTAGCAACCCGCTCACCCCGAAAGTCCCTTCCCCAGTACCACATCAGAGGGCCGACTTCTCAAGCTAATGGAATCTCTTCCCTAAAAACTCAAAAGGGGAGGGGCTTTCGATGCCCTGAGAACTGGATTAAACTCTGAGGTCCGTTTTCGAGCTGCACGCAACGCGACCGAGTGAGTGCGATAGGCTGAGGAATATGTCCTCATGGCAAGCACAAAACCGCAGAGAAGGGAGTAAGTTGGTACCTGTTTGTCTCTCTCGGATACTAGCTGCTGCTGCGGCGGCCGCCATCTTGGCTCCCACCATCCACTGCCTGGCTGGCGAGCCTAGCCTGACGATGACGTGGCCGGCACGACCGCCCCGGAAGCAAAGACCAGATGGGAGGGACCACAAAGGGCCGGCCCCGCCTCCTCCAAGGTGACCGTCCCCCACCGCCCCGAACCCGGCCCGCCCTCTGCCCTCAGCTCTCTCCACTGAATTTGGAGACCCAATAGGAGAATAACAGCTGAATACCTGATACTGTTTACTTTACAGCGGCGGGACAGGAGGGATTTTTAACCTGTCAAGCTCCAACTTCTAAAAGGTTAGCTACTTTAAATTGCGCTGATACAGCAGGAGCGTGTTATAGTGCTAAAAACCTGATTAAATGCAGGACTGTTGTTTGGTCGTCTACAGATATCTTATGTTGTTTGGCTCAGTCGTGTCCGACTCTATTGCGTCCGCCAGGCTCCTCTGTTCATGGGATTCTCCGGGTAAGGTTACTGGACTGAATTGCCATTTCTTCCTGCTGGGGATCTTCCCCACCCAGGATCGAACCCGTGACTCCGAATCTTCGGCTTTACATGCGGTTTCTTTACAGTTGAGCCATCGGAGAAGCCCCTTCAGATCTCTTGAAGTAATAATCTAGGGGCTTAAGAATCACAGGACTTAAGTAAATGAAGTTCATGGAACGAAACTGGCACTTAAATGCTAGCTGCCTTACCCTTCCAGTCCTCTTGCCTGGCAAATCCCATGGATGGAGGAGCCTTGTAGGCTGCTGCAGTCCATTGGGTCGCTAAGAGTCGAACACGACTGAGCGACTTCACTTTCATGCATTGGAGAGGGAAATGGCAACCCGCTCCAATGTTCTTGCCTGGAGAATCCCAGGGACGTGGGAGCCTGATGGGTTGCCGTCTATGGGGTCGCACAGAGTCGGACACGACTGAAGCGACTTAGCAGCAGCAGCAGCCTTACCTTTATCCAGTGCAGCTGGAGAGGTGTCCTGTTTAGGGGGGAGACAGGTGGCTTTGAAGCATTGCTCTAATCAGGCAGGTTTCTTAATCTCATCTTAGGCAAAGTAGTCTAGGTGAGTGGGGTTGTTCTGCCATCATAGATACAGGAGTCAGGAAGGTGCAAACTGGAAATGTGTATTTTCCTCCTTTTTGTAAATGCAAAATGACAAAAAAGTTCTTCGGTGTGGTCGTGGGGGGCCGTTAGTGGATAATGCAGGTGTCTTGATGTACACTTAAAACCATGTGATGACAAAATACATCCAATATTGATTTCTAACAATCCATATTTTTAAATTGGATGTTAAAAATGGACACAACTCATTTCTCATACCGTAAGTAGTGTTCACTTTTGATATTGCATTACTTATTGAATGTTTATTCTGAAGCTGTCAAATTCTGATATGAAATTACAGACCCTTTGCTCAAAAACTGGTTTGAAAACTTTCTGAATTTGAGAAATTAAGCTACCCCAACAATTACATAAAGAGCATTTTTAAAAACAAAAAACCATCCTATTTCACAACCATTTTTATTAAACTCAAGTGATCTCATTCTTAATGCCATTAGGGAATGCCCTAGAATCAAACCTTACATTCTTTTTCCTTGCATAATTTTTTTTCAGCTTAATTAAGGACAGAATTGGCAAGATAATTGAAATGTACATTGAGATGATCTAATATAAATATGTATACACTGTGAAAGAATTCCTCTCATCTAGTTAATTACCACATCTATCACCTCATATATTTTTATTTTTTGGATGAAACCTTTTGAGTTCTACTCTTTTAGCAAATTCCAGTTAGACAATTCCAGTTAGACAATTCAGTTATCCACTGTAGTTACCTTGTTATATATGACAAGCCACTATGGAGTATAGTGTGGAGATTCCTTAAAAAACTGGAAATAGAACTGCCATCCGACCCAGCAATCCCACTACTGGGCATCCACACGGAGGAAACCAGAATTGAAAGAGACACATGTACCCCAATGTTCACTGCAGCACTGTTCACAATAGCTAGGACATGGAAGCCACCTAGATGTCCATTGGCAGACAAATGGATAAGGAAGTTGTAGTATACATACACAATAGAATACTACTTAGCTATAAAAAATAACATACCTGTGAGTCAGTTCTAATGAGGTGGATGAAACTGGAATCTATTATATAGAGTGAAGTCAGAAAAAGAAACACCAGTACTGTATATTAACACATATATATGGAATTTAGAAAGATGATAATGATGACCCTACATGCAAGACAGCAAAAGAGACACAGGTACTTTTGGACTCTGTGGGAGAAGACAAGGGTGGGATGATTTGAGAGAATAGCATTGAAACATGTATATTATCATATGTAAAATAGATAACCAGTGCAATTTCAATGCATGAAGCAGGGCACTCAAAGTTGGTGCTCTGGGACTACCCAGGATAGGGTGGGTCGGGAGGTAGGAGGGGGATTCAGGATGGGGGGACACATGTACACCCGTGGTTGATTCATGTCAATGTATGGCAAAAACCATCAGAACATGGTACAGTAATTATCCTCCAATTAAAAAAAAAAAAGTGTACCAGGCTGTGAGAGAGACTGGTAAAAGATTATGAACCTACATTGTTTAAGAATTGCATTATGGTTTTCACTAAGAAATTAACTGTAATATTGTTGTACATGTATGTATGTACAACATACGTACAATGAAGTAGGTATGTTGTAATTAAACAAACAACAGTTACTGCCCTATGGGAAAGTTCTACTTAATTTTTTGTCTTCATGGAATATAAAATAAACAGGCTTTCCCACCTTCAATATGAGAGCCCAAATTTGGACACTTCTACTTTCAATGCAATTCTATCATCTAACCACTTCAGCTCTAGCATATACCTCCCAAAATATGAGTCATATTGATATAAAACACTCAGGCCTGTTTAACATTTATGTACAGTATATACATTTGAAATTATAAAAACTGTCCTAACCAAGGAGATAGTCCCGAGACACCTTGGGACACATGTTTTCAGCACAAGGTGTTACAGTGAATGGAAGGATTTCATGCCTTAGTGAAGGAGCATGTCCCCATGTGGGCCAGGTGGCACTAGTGGTAAAGAATCTGCCTGCCAATGCAGGAGGTGTAAGAGACTCGGGTTCGACTCCCAGGTTAGGAAGATCCACCAAGAAGGAAATGGCAACCAACTTCAGTATTCTTGCCTGGGAAACCCCATGGACAGAGGAGCTTGGCGGGCTACAGTCCCTGGGGTTGAAAAGAGCTGGACACGATTAAGTAACTAACACAAAACCAAGGAGTGCACAGAGTGTGGAACATGTATAGAAAAGTATATCCCAGAACCTGTCCAGTGGTTAAGACTCCACCTTCCAATACAGGGCTCCATCCCTGGTGGGGGAGCTAAGATCCCACAGGCCTCATGGCCAAAAAATCAAAACATAAAACAGAAGCAATTTTGTAACACAGTCAATAAACACTTAAAAAAAAAAGTCCACCAAAAAAAAAAAAAATTCCCACAGAAGAAGAGTGGCAATAAACAAATACTTCGTATAAGGCTAAGACTGAGTAAGGTATTCTGTTACTGGAATAAAAGGATGAAACTTATGGGCTGTTAGTGTTAATTAACCTAATATTTTTTAGTCTTTTAAGTGACTCTACCTATCCAGACTTTTTTATTTAATACATTTATTCTGCAAACTATTATTTACATTAGGGGATAGATCATTTTAACACAGAATACCTCAGAACAGCTCATTCAAGAGAGGTTCCTAAATGTTAGCCAACAACTGCTAGCCAGATCTACCAAATGTGGAGAGGAAAGGATCTTGTTATTTACCCAGTACTGTCAGGATCTTAACCTTGTTAAATCCTAACAAGTTACTTAATTTAGTTTATATAAGAGCTTCACATTTAGTAGCATAAACATATTTATTTACAAAACTTCACTATATGTGTCATGTTTTTGGTTGTCTCTGAAGCCTTTTAAAAAAGGGAAATTAGGCTGACATAAACTATCATATAATATAATACCTGGCATATACTAGATACTGGAATGTTTGGCAATTTGAAGATAAAAGTCAACATGAGAACTTGAAAATGGGATCTCTTCAAAGCAATTCAAATTTTCCTAAACTGTGAGTAATACATATTCAAGAAATCCATCAATACGTTTTTATGCTTTACACTGGATCACTGAGAGCATAAAACCTAGTTTAATGGCTTATTGTAAAAGTGACAACAAGGCATGTGATAATCACTATATATATGACAAATTTATAAATAGGATCTTGCTCTAATAATTTTCTTATAATGACTGAATGTAAAAGCCCAAGTCACTTTACCTTTTACAGTTTTAAAAGGCTTATCTTAAAAAAAAACTTACCTATGACACTTTCCTTTACTGTGCATTCAGTATTGAGTAAAAAAGTTTCAACAGCTTCTATATAATTATGAGAAAAAAATTTTAAGAAGCTTGAAATGATGTAGACACCAAAGTGAATTCTCAGGTTAGTAATCAAATGAAAGCTTTTTACTTGACCCAAACAAATAATGTCTACTTTATAATATGGAAATTAAATATTACAAAGTATAAAGAAAGGAGCTAATTTCTGATTGAAATATTTTAAGGCATCTTTACCCTAAATACTAAAATAATAGTAAAATGACTATGTACAAGAATAGTAGAGAACTGTATAAATGCCTTCAGATGAAGTTCCCACACCAAAAAATTTTAAGTTGTTTAAAAAAAAATGAGTAGAAAACTAAACTAAGACCATTAACAGCAGATAGGTAAGAGGCAAATTTATGGTTTTTCTTGCTATTGAGAGTAACAGAGAACAAGCTTGAAAATACATGGCATTTAGACAATTGAAATACTTATGAAAAACATATTCACATTTATAAAGGTTTATAAAGGTTTATAACATAATTCCTTTAAAAAAATCAAAGTCAGCAAAAACTCTGTATTGGCTGTAACAATAGGAAAAAACCAAAAGCAACCATGTGACACATTACACTGCAGAAAATAAATAACCTACAGGTTTCTCTGACATAGCTTCAAACATTAATCTAAATCCGTACTGATGAATATCCTTAAAACCAGAAAATATTTTCCAATATGAATATTTACACCTCCCTTTAAAACATGAATATCCCAAATTATTATTTAAACACCTTACCCCTAAAGCCCTGTCTACACATAAGAGGAACTGAAATACTGCTTTTAATCGCAGCCAACACAAGCACACTGCCCCCTATCAGCAGCCCCCACCTCAAAAGCATGTGAGCATTTAACAGCTTTAATTATGACTGTAATTAAATGAATTCAAACTACAAATAACCAGAAAACAGCTTGAATTAGGTTTTCTGGTTTGTATTGATTTAACGGCTTTTAAAATTTTATAAAACTAGGTAGGTTAACAAATAAAATGTCCAGTTTATCAACACATTTGGAATAAAACCTGTATGGTGAGTTTAAACTTCTTTTTGGTTAACTGATCCTTTAATTACTTTTGATAATTTAACAGAATTCAACACAAGACAAAAAATGCCTTGTTTAATGTTTCAAAACCTTCAAGTTAAAGTTTCACTTTTAGTAAATGTAACAAAACAAATTATACTAGGACATGTTTTATATTACCAGTATCACGCTACTAATCCTGTCATTTGTCTTTAAAAATATCAGTAATTTACAGATGTTTCTCAGAGAGGATGAGAATATGATGGCTGATACCTGCTTTGCATAGCTAGGAAAAAATGTGCTTAAAAACAAGCAATTTTTCTCTCATATGATTTATTTTGGTGAAAAACCCATTTATATTAGATAAAAGATTAGGGACATTAGATTTTTCCAATTTCTTCTTTTGTAAGAGTACAGATATGGTGATAAAACTGTCAGATTATGTATCTTCAAATTGTTACTACATAATCTCTTTTTATTTCTAGGTATTCTTTGACTTTTATAAGAATAAAGTTAAAAAAGACAGGAAATATAAGAGTTTATATTAATAAAAGGATATGCAGGGACAGTTAATTCTGCATGGTGAGATTAGCATGGGTTTTTCATTCTTTGTAGTTCTTTCTTCCCTACTTCTACACTGTTTATATAGACAGGTATCTTTCAAAAGTAAAGAAAATAACTGTATAATGTAATGGTGCCAGCTTACCCATCAAACAACCATACTGATAATAAATAACTGTTAAATAGCCAAACCTACCAAAAGGCAATCCACAGAGATCATTCTATTCAGATAACTTAAACTGTGGATCATATACACTGTGGTTTAATACCACACATGGGATACAAACAAACAAAAAAAATCTTATGATTAAAGCCAAGGCTTTAAAGAAGACACTTAAGAGATTTTTCAACTATATTTTAACTCACCTCAGAAGTGTTTTAAGACTATGGAATATCCATAGATTCTTGAGTATTTGTGCAATTCTGCTTTCTTATATAATACATCTCTTAAGGCATCATCTAACAGCAGTGTGGATCTATTGTAATATAACTCAATGATCTAAAAACATTTAACTAATTTAGTGCCATCCTAGAAGAGGATACATATAACACATACTCCAAAATATATGCCTTTGATTTATAAAAAAAAAAAAAAATCACTCATTTAGCTTTCCTACTTAATGCTTTAAAATAAGTAATAATTCGAAAATTGCATAATTAAACCAGAAAAATAATTGTGGCATTCTATACCTAATCCTAATTTACATAAAGTGAGCACAAGTTTTCTGCTTATATACAGTATGTACTATACTTGAAGAAAGTCTGTGCAGCCATTCTACAAGTATTTATATTGAGGTTTACAAAGCATGTATATTAAGAAAATAGAAAAATATTAACTTTCACTGGTACACCTTAACAAAAATTCCTTTTTCGCTTAGGTGGCCAAAACAATCCTTTATGTTCATATTATAAATTTTATTGGTCCAAGTTTGCTCAAAAGTGATGATGGAAAGATTTCTGAAACAAAAAGTATCTACAGCAGCTTTTGAAGAAGCATCCCTTTGTTCAAAACAGGTAATGTCAAATGAAGTGAGAATTTTCTTCTTTTTCTAATCTTAGAGTGTTTTTTATGGTAAAGTCCATACTTTCTTGAAATTCTTTATATGTACTGGTGATAGGAAGAGCTAAACAGTTATTACACTTGTTTCCTACAGGAAAATCCATATGAAGGCACTCAATTGACGGAGTAGGTTTAAATCCAGCAGGTGGAATGGACTTGCAACCAGTAGCAAAAATAAGAATGTCTTCCATTGTTACTGTAGATTTACCATCTGAAAAGAATACCAGAAAGAGAGAAAAAGAAAATATAAGTAAATCCATGTTATATATTGCTACCATCATAGACTCTTCCCCAACTAGACATGCTGAAAGGCAGAGACTCCCACATTAACAGTAGATGCATAAGAGGCAAACTAAAGTACTAAAGTCAAGTATAGTGATAGGAAAATGGTATATTAAATACATGTTTATTTGAATCTCAAACAAAGTAGGACTCATAAAATCATCTGGTTGACCTACTCATTGTATATTTGAATGACTTCCTTAAAATAAAATTATACAGTCCAAGAGGTTCAGTAGGTTTTAAAATGCAATCTTTGGGGGATATATACAAACAATTTTAAACCACTTCTAGATCATTGTTATTTGATAAACTATTTCAAAAAGGCAAAGAGGAAAAATTAGATGGTATAAAACATCCCAATAAGCTAGCTAAAAACTTTTCAACTAAAAGTTAAGCTTTCTTTTATACCATATTAAACAGAATGAATTTACACTGCTAATGTTCACCGATAAATATCATTACCATATTCTGACCAATTCATTTTTTGAATAATTCAATTTGACCTAAAAATTTAAAAAGATGAAGTAGATGACTAGCTTTGAAGCAGATGACTCTATGCTGTGGCAATCACCCATATATTTCGTTTTCTAAGAAGAATGACTCTCATCTCAAATTATCGAGACAGAAACAAGTGAAAGATAAACTTTATAATCTTTCCTTATCATTTTCAACTGTCATAGAACTTGGTTTTAAACAAGTTTCGTAAATAAGGATTGCAGTTATCAGATGAAAGTCTTACTATAAAAAGCAAAACTCAAAATAAATATCCCAAAACAAAATTTTTAAGTTAAATGAAAACATCTACATACCCTCAAGAGCCTGTAAGTAACTATTCCAAAATCCCAAAGTCTGTACATCAGACAATGTGTGTACTGTAAAAAGATCACTAAGTATTTTTGCAGAAAGATTCTCAGGTTTATGACAGAAGATGTGAAAAAATGCTTCTGGATAAGTCTGAATCTTCTCCAAAACACCAAGAGTTTTCAGACCCTGTTTAAAACTTAAAGAGAAGAAAAATAATGAACCAATATTCATACACATATATGTTTGGAACACATATTTCTAGCTCATTTACGATTACATAATTAGATGTGAGAAAAAAAATATGGACACACTACATGATAATTTCAAATCAATAACAAGCCAGTGCATTAATATAAAATGAATATATTACATGCCGACAGTATTTATAGAACAGGTTTAAAATTGAGCTAATAATTTTCCATTAAGAGAAAAAAGACATCTAAAATTTTATACTTCAAAGCTAGTTAAAAATGAAAGATTGTAAAGAAACTAAATTTTAGCCACACAAAAATTCAACTTATGTATTGCTAAAAACAAATTTAAAAAGAGAAAACAAACAAAATATTTTTAATACACAATAAAACACTTATTTCTCTAGACGTACTAAAAATACAAATCAGTTTTCTAGAAGAACAATCCAAATACACAAAATATAAATGCATTATTAAGAAAATACAAGTAACAAATGAATTTTTAAAAATGTACATTCTCACTAATAAGCAAAGAATGAAGATACCATTTTTGCCTATCAGACTGACGAAACCTTTGCTGTGTCTCTGATTTCCCTAGCCACCTTCTCAGGTACCCTGCTACACGGATTCATCTTCCATTCTATAAGCTCTTCCTCAACAGCACAGCTCTTTCTCAAGTGCTTATCTTTCCCATTTTTGAATGAAGGAAAAAAAGTAATCCTATTTTCCTTTGAGACGACCTATGTGAAAGACTCATCTACATTCACTGCCTCCCCATCTTAATTTCATATTCACTTTCCCTCCACTCCTTTCTACATCTCAGAGTAACTGCCCTAAGTTCATGAATGATGTATGGCACCAGTCTCCTGGTTTCCCCTTATTTCTCTGGGCAGACCTTCTGAGTCTCTTACAAAGCTTCTTCTATCTTTGCTTTCCCTTATTAAGTCCAAAAGAAAGCTAAATACCCAACTACCAAAATCAGAACCATAAATGACAATTAATGCCTCCATTACTATTAGTATAGATAAATCTGAAAGTCATTCTTAACTCTTCCTTATTTCACTCCTAACTATCAAGTTCTGTGAATGTCCTTTTGTGAAATGCTTTTTGTCTGTTCATTTCTCCATACATGAGTTCCACCTTACTGCAAACCACCTGCAGAGGACTGTTTCTACCAAGTGTTTAAGTCTCTAAGTTGATTTTCCATGTGAACAGCAAAAAAGATATCCACATCCTACTCCCCAGAACCTGTGAATGTGATCTTATGTTAAGGATCCTGAGATCATTTTACCTAGATTATCTGGGCTTATCCTAAGTCCCATGATAATTGTCAAACACAGAGGAAAAGGCCATGTAACACAGATTCAGAGCTTAGAGCTATGCAACCACAAACCACCAGAAGTTAAAAGCAGCAGACTGAATTCTCTTCCAAAATTCCCAGAAAGAATGAAGCCCTGTGTCAACATGAGGACTAGGACTTTGAGCCTCCAAAACTATGGAAGAATAAATTTCTGTTGTTTAAAGCCATCAGTTTGTGATAATTTTTTACAATAGCCACAGGAAACTAATAATATACACAATGTCGATGAAGTCAAAACTCCTTAACATGACTTTTTAAAGTTCTCCACAATACAATGCTTGCCTGCTGTTCTTGCTTTTAACTTTTACCTTACATTTAACCTTTGAAGCAAATTTCAGCACAACATTTAAAATTTTACTTTTAATTAAAATTAAATAATTGAAGCTTATACCAAAGTCAGGAAATAACAGAAAACCATGAACCGTCACTTGAATTTAAAAGATATTGACATTTTGTGTTTGTTTGCTCAGATTATTAAGAAAAATACTCTATTCACTCAACTAAATCTGTCCATTCACAACCTTCCCTTATCTCCTTCTACAAAGAAAACTACTTGAAACTGCTATTTAACCATTCTGAATTTTTATTATGGCCTAAATTTCATTTTAGTTTCAATATATATGTATCCCTAAAAAATAACTAGCATTGCTTTATTTTAAACTTTCCATAAATGGCACCACAATGTATATTTTTCAGAAATTTGCTTGAGAGTGATTTTTTCCTAATTGTTATATAATTATAGTGATTACTACATTAGGAAACTAGTTCTAGCACATTTGGGAAACTGTACTGAATTTCAAAAGTCTTTTTTATTGTGTCCTGCAAATTTTTGTGGTCATTTTTAAATTCCAGTCTAGCTTCTATTTAGAAAATTATACTAGTTCTTACTTTTTAAGAGGTTACCTCAAATTTTTAATTTGCATATTTGAAATCGAAAGCAAATCAAGTATTTACCTGCTTGCTGAACACCACAAAGACCCTGGAACATTTGCAACTCCAGTGGCTCTCTCTGTTACTTAAACATTTTATTTCACCTGGTATCATAAATCCCCAAATGAAACATTAACGTTTTGTACAGTTAATATTTACTCTAATATCAACCAATTTCTTTCTTTACCATTCCTTGTCACTTGCACATCTCCGTGTTAGAATCCTTTACCTCTTGTATACAGTAACCTTACTACACTCTTTATAGTTCTAAGATTTTAGTTGGAGGTCGGGAAGATCCCCTGGAGAAGGAAATGGCAACCCACTCCAGTATTCTTGCCTGGAGAATCCCATGGACGGAGGAGCCTGGTGGGCTACAGTCCACGGGGTCGCCAAGAGTCGGACATGACTGAGCGACTTCACTTTCCCTTTGTATCTCTACTAGGTCTTCCAGCATACTGTAGAAATGAAGGAGGTAATTATACATATCTCAGGCTTGCCATGGCCTTAAGAGGAATGCCTGTCACACTATTACGGATAATGTTCACTGAATGTTTACTAGATAACCTGTATAAGGATACTTCAAATTGTCAGTATTAAATTTACGTACAAATGTATCAACTGCTTTTTTTGCATCTATAATTATATGACGATTGTTTTTTCTATTTTAATCTATTAGTGGAATGCACTAAAGGAACATTCATTTTTTGATACTCGACCTGCCTTGCTTCCTTTCATAAACCCTCCTCAGAACTGTTAGTTAATTTTGAGGCTATGTTGCTTGGTACAAATAGACTCAAGACTGCTGAATTCAAGAGAATTTGTTCTTTTCAACACTATTAGGGTCATTTAAGGACAAGGCTTTATGAAAAAATAATTAGAATTGTTCTTTCTTTTGCTTTGAAGGCATCTATTTAGAATGCAATTTAGGATCCTCTGTCTTTTAATACAAGAGTCTAATTTATTTACATGTATTATAATCTATATATCTAGACTATTCTTCTATCTTATGATTTCTTTGAACATTGTTTTCTCTTGCTTATTTTTATCCCTCTTTTTCTGCTCACTTCTATGATTAAATATGTTTTATTGCTACCCCCACCCCCACCAAACTGGTCTGGAAGTCACATAGTCTTCCTATTATTTTAGAATTTTCCCTTTAAAGATACATAGTTGGTTTAACAATTTAAAGGTAATTAATGCTTCTCCACTACTACCTCAAGAATACAAGAATAAAACAATACAATAAGTCTTCTCTTCTTACAGATCAACTTTTAACTAGTATTTCATTTTAACCATTTCTTACCAAACTTTAGCTCTTGTTGTTTTTTTTTCCTTTTTAATGGCTAATGCTTGTCTTTATTCAAGTTTTTTTTTTTTTTTTTTTTTTTGTTTGGCTTCTTGCTGTTGTTTATATCTTAACTTTTTCTTTCTGGGTTCAATTTCTTTCTTCCTTAAGTACGCATTTTATTAATCTCTTTAGGAAAGAAATAAACATGTCTCCAAATGTCTTTATTTCCTTCTTTCTCTTGAATAATAATGTAACTAGCTCTGTGAAGTTATTATCTTGGGTTATCTGTTTTCAGTGTTGATTTCACTGAGAAAAAGGTTTCCAGTATAACTGACACTCCTTTTTATAATGTCTTTTTGCTCAGAAAACTTTGCCAGCTTTTGCTCAGTTTCATTACAAAGTACACTGCACTTCAGCATATTAAGCCCTGTGAACTGTGGAACTTCTTAAGCAGCATTTTCTGTAATATTGCCTTGCCTCCATGTTTCAATTCTCTTCTATCTTTAATGAGAAAATCCTGTTTTTTCTTCCAGATCACCAGTTTTGTCTTAAATGGCCTAACATTTAACAGTCAGCAACTTTTCACTTGTACGATCATTTTTGTTTCTTCTTCCTTATGGGTTACTTGAATATTTTCTGCACTCCATTTTTATCTATAGCATTTTGACTGTATCTATTTTTATAGATTTTTTTTAAAAAATGTAATAATTTACTGATGCCACTAAGTATAGAAACATTACTTCCCTTCATGTCCCTTTGCTTTTTGCTGTTTATAATTTCCTATTTATTTTATATACATTGTGAACCACATTAGAAAATGTGATAATTTTTACTTGAACCATCAAACATAATTTAGCAAACACAAGAGAAAGAACCATGCTTTCATTCTTTTCATTATTCTTTCTTCCTTTCTGATGTTCCAAGATCTGATCTTTAATAATTTTCTGTTAAAAAAATTCCCATAGACATTCTCTTAGGGTAGATCGTTGGTGACAAATACTTTTAATTTTCCTTCAGATGAAAGTGTCTATAGATTCCTTCTCTCTGCTGTGTCCTTGCAGAGATCCTTAGCTGGTTGGCTTTCATCTCTGTACGTTTCAAAAATCTTCCTAAGTTTGTTTTATAAATAACAGTTCAGGGTTTTTAACCGTTAGTTTTCAGTCACTAAGTCATATCCGATTCTTAGAAACACTATGGATTGCAGCACGCTGGGCTTCCCTGTCCTTCACTATCTCCCCGAGTTTGATTAAACTAATATCCACTGAGTCACTGATGCTAACCGAACATCTCATCCTCTGTCACCCCCTTCTCTTCCTGCCCTCAATCTTTTAAATGTACTTATGAGAAAGAACAGAAGAGTGTGTATTTCACATTATCTAGAACTAGATGTCTATGATCATTTTTCAACGTAGAAACACTATCTGATTCATTTCACATTTAATGTTTTGGGTCTGTTTTTCTTTTAGATAACTGTAAAAACACTTTTTTTGGTCTCATTCAGTTTGTCCTGTTATTTAAATCTTTGATATGCTATTTTCATTACCTGTTTTGAATGATTATGTGTTTTGTCTTTTATTGGCAATTCCTACTCTTTAGCAATGTGACTTTAGCAATCCCATTAGGCTTGGGCTGTAGCGATTTCCCTAAACATTATTATGTATTTGCTTTTGTCTGGCACTCTGTAAGTACTATGAATCTTAAGACCAATTACTTTGTTAATGTCTCTGCATCAGATTGGGGTCCATCCAGGATGCCAAACCCAAGTTTGGGGCAAACTGAGGGTTCTGATTTCTTATGACATCTAGGGTACTATAGCTTTTGATTTCCTTGTTATTTCTGACATCTACAAGACACTTTTCTTATGAGCTCGGATATATTTAAAGTATCTTTTTTTGCTACATGATTTATCTTTTACATAAAAAGGATCAATGTTCAGTTTTTTTTTCTTTTGCCCTCTTTATCTTGATCTGCCTAATTCCTATTTATAAATTAGGTTTTAATTTAAACACCACTTACATAGATAGTAAAGCTCTTCCTGACATCTAGACTACTCATCCCTATAAAAATAAACAAAAAACTCAAACAAACAGCTATGAATTCTGATTTAGCAATGAGGAAAAAAATCCATCCGTAGGTACATGAACTACTTGTTAGTAAAAGAATACTTTGTACTTCTATGTCATTAAGAGATATCTTTCAAATAGTTTTAAAATAACTATCAAAATGTATATTTGGATTATTGTATTAATTATAATTATGAATGGTATTTCTAACTAAGAAAATTTTGAGATGTAAGTGTCATAGTCAGAAGACACTTGGATGCATTTTAAAGAGTTATGTAACAGTTATGTAACAGTGTTATTTTAAATTACAGTATTAAAAATATATTAGAAATTATATCCTGTGTAATTGTTTAAGCTTATGATGTCATAGTTGAGTTTGGAAGAGTGCTGATGTTCTAAAGGGCTCTAAAAAAAGTATGAGGACTATTAAAAAAAAAGTATGAGAACTATAAACGGTCAAGTAAAAAATGAACAGGAGAAACGATGGATGGTATGTTACTATTTATTTAATGAAAGAAATGAGGATACATACAGATATTCATATATTTATCTGCTATCATTAAAAAACAATAATGGAAGCCTAAACAATAAAAGCCACTAAGATAATTACTTCATATGAGGATGGGAGATAGATGTGATTAGGATGAAAGTTAAACTTATCTGAATATATTTTGTATAAGAGCTGAGATCTTTCAATATACTTTCATTAGAGATTTGACTTTACATAATTTTAAAATAAAATTTTAATTAAAATCAGTAAAAAGAAAAAATAAAATGAAAATGCATAGTTAGTAGTATAACAACAAAGAGAATAAATATGTCAAATGACTTTAAACATAGTAATTTGAATTCAAAGTCTTAGAGCAAAATGAAAAACAATCCTAACCCGATTTCAGTAATATATGTTTCTAATGATGATGTTGGTATTATTATTCTGTGACGACTATTATTTATGAAATGTGGAATAAGTTAAGCAGTTATTTCATACTCGAATTCACCAGTGTCTTTGAGAACTAAGATTATCAACATGGACAAAGAAAAAGTTAAAAATCTTGCAGTGGTGAATCTGAAGTATTAGTAAAAACTCATGATGTATTTTAGATTAAAAAATCAAAATAAAAGCAAAAAACCCTTATATTTCTTCTTTCAGCCCACTGAAAAGGCCTAGAAACAATGACCAACCTGACAAAAATAAGCATCCCTAAGCATTCAGACTGTTAATTTGAAATACCATTTCCCATTCAAAGGAACAAAGATCATTAGGCCACATGTACATAAGGAGCCTGAAACACCTTGTTTCAGTGAAACTGAAACTTCCCACATAGCAGGAAGACCGTTGAAGGTCAACATCAAAAGACCTCAACAGAGACAACACAACTAGGTTTATACTGGTTAAAGATGAGACAATCTAAGATTTGCTAAGAATAGCAACAATTCTTAAAACATTAAATATACAGATTAATGATACTGAAATTTAAAACTCCTTGAAAGCAAAACCAGAATCAATAACAAAGGAAGGTTAGATAAATGAGACTGGCCACAGGTTGGTTGATAACTGTTAGATTTGAATGGTGATTACATGGTGTACCACTCTGTCTACATTCATATATATTTTAGATTTCCCACTATTAAATAACAGAGTGTGAGGACATAAAATAATTTTGATATAGAAAAATTATAATTGAGATATAATTACTTATCCTACCTAAGCAGGATACACTAAAGCAATTCTGCACAGAATGGTAAGAGCAGTATTCATCCTTAAGAGGTTAGTTTTAAAGCATTATTTAAAAATAGCACTTAAATTTTATCAAATAAATCTCACATTATAAGGCAATTAACCACTTTAAACATATAATTTGAGAGAATCGGTCGCACATGAACAACTTACCTCTCAAAAGGTGCTTGGACTCTTTTAATTACATGATAAACAAGGATGTCTTTTGCCAACATATATTTATCACTTATTGATGTTATAAGTCTTAGACATCCAATAAGCTCTAGGTACTTATAATAGTCATTTATTATAGAGTTTAAGTCAGCCACAGTTGCTGCAGTATTTACCTGTAATGAAGAATAAAATACACCCGGTTTACTCTTTTACTTGTGAAAGAAATTTACATATTTCATATTTCAAATTTCACATTACTTCATACTCACACTTCATACTTGAGTACACCTGAGCGAAGTGAAAGTACACCAATAATTATTTTTCTTAAATAAATATCTGATAATCCACTTTAATACTGTATATATCTGCCTCAAGAAAGCTAATCTATAATTTCACATTAAAAAATATATATTTATTTTTAATTGATTGATGACTGGTTTATAGTATTGGTTTGATTTCTGTCATGCATCAACATGAATTAACCATGGGTGTATATATGTCCCCTCCCTCTTGAATCTTCATCCCACCTCCGGCCCATTCCCACCCCTCTAGGTTATTACAGAGCCCCAGTTTGAGTTCCCTGGTTGAAATTCCACTTTAATAGGTTATTTACATAAAAGGAGTAATTGACATAAAACAGTTACATAGACTAGAGAGGCAAAAAAGATGATCTGCAGAGATTTCATGAATGAGAAAGTATAGTTTGAATATACTTTTATATATTTCAAATATTTCATTTGAATACAAATGAATAGACTCAAGAGAGTATTTGTGGCAACAGTATAAACAAAGAAATACTTGACCATTTATAAGACAGGCACTTTCATATAGTTTGCTCTTGAACAAAGTTACAGAGGGAGAAAGATAGATATGGAAGGCAGTCAATCCCATTTGAATGGAAAATCTCCTTGGCATTTCTTTTTCCCAAAAAACTCTTCTCCCAGGTATTCCGTCGTTTATTTCAGATCTCTACTGTGATCTCAGAAGCTTTTCCCGACTACCCTTTTCAAACTATCTTCATGCTCTAATGGGCTTCCGTTGTGGCTCAGCTGGTAAAGAATCCTCCTGCAATGTGGAAGACCTGGGCTAGATCCCTGGGTTGGGAAGATCCCCCAGAGAAGAGAAAGGCTACCCATTCTAGTATTCTGGCCTGGAGAATTCCATAGACTGTAGTAAAGTCCATAGTGTCCCAAAGAGTCAGACAATGACTGAGCAACTTTCACTCTCACACTCTCAGTTCAGTTCAGTCGCTAAGTCGTGTCTGACTCTTTGTGACCCCATGAACCATAGCACACCAGGCCTCCCTGTCCACCATCAACTCCCAGAGTCTACCCAAACCCATGTTCATTGTGTCGGTGATGCCATCCAATCATCTCATCCTCTGTCGTCCCCTTCTCCTCCTGCCCTCAATCATTTTCAGCATCAGGGTCTTTTCAAATGAGTCAGTTCTCCACATCAGGCGGCCAAAGTATTGGGAGTTTCAGCTTCAACATCAGTCCCTCCAATGAACACCCATCCTTTAGGGTGGACTGGTTGGATTTCCTTGCTGTCCAAGGGACTCTCAGGAGTCTTCCCCAACACCAGTTCAAAAGCATCAATTCTTTGGCGTTCAGCTTTCTTTATAGTCCAACTCTCACTTCCACACATGACCACCCGAAAAACCATAGCCTTGACTAGACGGACCTTTGTTGGCAAAGTAATGTCTCTGCTTCTTAATATGCTGTCTAGCTTGGTCATCACTTTCCTTCCAAGGAGCAAGCATCTTTTAATTTAATGGCTGCAATTACCATCTGCAGTGATTTTGGAGCCCAGAAAAATAAAGCCAGCCACTGTTTCCCCATCTATTTGCCATGAAGTGATGGGATCAGATGCCATGATCTTAGTTTTCTAAATGTTGAGCTTTAAGCCAACTTTTTCACTCTCTTCTTTCACTTTCATCAAGTGGCTCTTTAGTTCTTCTTCACTTTCTGCCATAAGGGTGGTGTCATGTGCATTTCACACTCTAGTAGTTGGGTATGTGTTATCTCATCCTCCCAACCCACCACCCTGAGTTTTAGCTGGGCATATGGCAAAACTTTCCTTACAGCTAGATGTGGCCTTATGTGACTAAGAGCTGTCCAATAGAACATGAGTGAAAATGTGTTAAATTTCCCTGAACTCTTTCACTTTCTCCCTTAAATGCATATTTCAGCTATGAAGACAATATCCTAAATGATTATACAATGAGAGTTGTTCAGGTGCTAAGTCATGTCGGACTCTCTGTGACTCCATGGACTGCAGCACGCCAGACTTCCCTGTCCTTCACCATCTCCTGAAGCTTGGTCAAATCATGTCTCTTGGGTCGGTGATGCCATCCAGCCATGTCATCCTCTGTTGTCCCCTTCTCCTGCCTTCATTCTTTCCCAGCATCGGGGTCTTTTCTAATGAGTCAGCTCTTCACATCAGGTGGTCAAAGTACTGGAGCTTCAGCATCAGTCCTTCCAATGATTATTCAGGGTTGATTCCCTTTAGGATTGACTGGTTTGATCTTGGTGTAATCCAAGGGACTCTTAAAGAGTCTTCTCCAATACCACAGTTCAAAAGCAACAATTCTTCAGCACTCAGCCTTCTTTACGGTCCAACTCTCACATCTGTACATGACTATTGGAAAATCCATGGCTGTGACTAGATGGACCTTTGTTGGCAAAGTAATGTCCCTGCTTTTTAATATGCTGTCTAGGTTGGTCATAGCTTTTTTTCCAAGGAGCAAACATCTTTTGATTTTATGGCTGCAATCCAGTGATTTTGGAGCCCAAGAAAAATAAAAGTCTGTCATTGTATCCATTGTTTGCCCATCTAATTGCCATGAAATGATGGGACAGGATGCCATGAGTTTTGTCTTTTCAATGCTGAGTTTTAAGCCAGCTTTTTCACTCTCCTCTTTCACCTTGAAGAGGCTCTTTAGTTCATCTCCACTTTCTGCCACAAGGGTGGTGTCATCTGCATATCTGAGGTTATTGATATTTCCCCTGGCAATCTTGATTCCAGCTTGTGCATTATCCAGCCCAGCATTTCATATGATGTACTCTGCACATAAGTTAAATAAGCAGGGTGACAATATACAGCCTTGACATACTCCTTTCCCAATTTGGAACCAGTCTGTTGTTCCATGTCTGGTGCTGACTGTTGCTTCTTGACCTGCATACAGATTTCTCAGGAGGCAAGTAAGGTGGTCTGGTATTCCCATTGCTTTAAGAATTTTCCAGTTTGTTATGCTCCAAATAGTCAACAGCTTTAGTGTAGTCAATGAATCAGAAATAGATATTTTTCTGGAATTCTGTTACTTTTATGATGATCCAACAGATATTGGCAATTGGATCTCTCATTCCTCTGCCTTTTCTAAATCCAGCTTGAACATCTGGAAGTTCTTGGTTCACGAACTGTTGAAGCCTAGCTTGGGAATTTTGAGCATTACTTTGCTAGCATGTGAAATGAGTGCAACTGTTCAGAGTTTGAACATTCTTTGTCATTGCCTTTCTCTGGGATTGTAATGAAAACTGACCTTTCCCAGTCCTGTGGCCACTGTTGAGTTTTCCATATTTGCTGGCATATAGAAAGCAGCACTTTCGCAGCATCATCTTTTAGAATTTGAATTAGCTCAAGTGGAATTCCATCACTTCCACTAGCTTTATTCATAGTGATCCTTCCTAAGGTCCACTTGACTTTGCACTCCAGGATGTCTGGCTCTAGGTGAGTGACCACACCATCATGGTTATCTGGGTCATTAAGATCTTTTTTGTATAGTTCTTCTGTGTACTGTCATCTCTTCTATGTTTTGTTAGGTCTATTCCGTTTCTATCCTTCATTGTGCCCAATACAATGAGAGGAAGGAATTCAATTCTCTGGGTGACCTGGTGTATCACAATTGTATCTTTAAGACAGGAGCCATTTCTATACAGGCCAGTGAGCATTTTATGCTTTGTGGGCCATATGGTGCCTGTCCCAAACTATTCAACCCCACCACTGTACTGTAAACTCAGTTACAGACACACAATAAATGGGTGTGGGTGTGTGCCTATAAAACTTAAAAAAGGCAGCAGGCAACACTTGGCCTACAGCTATAACTTACCAACCCCTACAAAAAAATCCAGATTTTAGAAAAAAATTAAATATATGCCTTTTTTTTGAATTTTTGTCTTTTGGGTCTCTTTGTTACAAAAGCCTAGCCTAATCTTAACTTATTATACCCCAAGCATTATCTTGGAAGAGATATCCTTCTTATTCTGTTCTATGTTATGATACATTTTACTACATGACAGTACATTACATATTTGATTATCTGTCTTTCTTCTCATAGGTAAATTCTAAGAAGGCAGTGGTTTTGTTCGGTTCACTACTTTATCCTCAGTGTTAAAACAAGTACGGGATACACAGCATTTGTTGACTGAAATCAATGAAGAAACACTGGCAAAGAACCAGATTAAATAAAGCCACGAGGAGAACCAGAAGTCTTAAGGGCCCTAAATGAAGAGTTTCAACTCCATTCAGTAGGCAATGAGAATCCATTAGGATTCTTGAGGAAGAAAGCAATGTGGTTAAACCTGTACTTGTAAAAGAATCATCCTGAGTAAGAAGATTAGAATATCTTAACCATTTAAACACAGATACAAGTTTCATACACTAAGCATACTAGAAATAAGAAGGAAAGGCCACTCTTAAGAGACAGATGACTTGACACAAACTGATGAACAGAGTATGGAAGAGTGATAACAACCCTGTCTCCAGAATAACTTGGAAATAAAAAATCTCTTGAAAAGAACATGAGAATCAGGCAAAAAACCCAGATTTTGGGAAAAATTTCTGTCTTAAACATGTTGGGCTCAATTTGGTAGGAAGACCCAGATCTTATCTGGATCTAAAAATCTGGGGGCTCAAAAACACAGGTCTGGAAATCATCAGAAAGGTTATGAATGAGAAGATGCTTTCTTCTCATTATATAGGAGGAGGACTGTTAAGATAACACTACCTAAAATTACCTAAGTTTCAGAGGTAGAAAGAAGTATTTAAAAAAACAATAGTTAAGTACCAGGGAACAGAATATTAAAGAAAACAGCAGAAAGGAATTCAAATACAATGGTGACTACAGAAATCAGAGGAGATAAGGAATTAGGAAAGAAAGGCCTTTGCATGTGGAGATTTAGATCCCTGCCTATTTTAGTAGGGGACAGGTTAAGGGAGGAAAAGTTGAATGGATTTCATTGTCTCAGTTTCTAAACCAGTAACACACGGGCAATGATACTTATCTCACAGGGTATTACAGTAAGTAAACTGAGTTTGTACAGATAACACGGGTAGTACAGGGCTTAATAAATGGCAACACTTTTTAGGAAGGAAAAATAGAGTCTCCCCAACTATTTTCACAGAGAAGAAAGTCAGCCTGGTCTTTCACCCCACCTGTCACTCATATCTCCCTGCTGTAGAAGGAAAAGATAAATTTTCTGCTGGTAACCATCCTCTCTTCAGATCCACCTGCCTACAGTAAGGAGCACTTTCATCTGACCTTTACCATGCAATAAGTAACCTGACTTATGTCATCTCTGGCAGAGCAGATAAATCCATTTAGTTCTGAGAAGTATTAACAAGCCATTCTGACCACAGATCTAAGGCACATTATCCAACCGGTCTTATCAACATTAAGCCTGGCACTCTGAACTCTAGCTTTTTGTTCTTTACATCTATCTGTTAAGTGATTGTTAACTTTGCTGGTAAACAAAAATACCTACGCCCCGTAACTACTCCACAAAGAATATTTATTGTTCTACTGCAGATCCATCATTTATATTCAAATGTATCTAGAACACGGGCTTCCCTGGTGGCTCTGCCAGTGAAGAATCTGCCTACAATGCAGGAGACTTGGGTTCAATTCCTGGGTCAGGAAGATCACATGGAGAGGGGATTGGCTATTCACTCCAGTATTCTTGCCTGGAGAGTTCCATGGACAGAGGAGCCTAACGATCTGTAGTCCATGGGTCACAAAGAGTCAGACATGATGGAGCAACTAACACATAACTAAAACACAGTCTACATCTGAACAAACAGGTATGTTTCTTACCCTGATCATTATCTGTGCCACATCAAAGTCTGAAACATCATCTAAAATTGGTTGGGTATTTTCTGGTCCATAAGCAAGGCAGTTAAATAAGGTCTGAGAAAAGAAACCAGGTGAAGGACCACCATGAACCAAAGAAATGGCAACCATTTTGCCAGCTTCATAGTAAAGGTTCTCTTTCAGAGCTGTAAATACAGATAAAAGATATCAAATACACTTCTTTTATTAACATGATAACCATTATATATGTAATAAATACATTAATAAATCAGAAATTAAAACATCCAAGCATTAGACAGACATAAAATAATCTAATTCAGACACTATAATAATGTATACTATATAGATTTCAACTAAAATATACAATTTTCAATTCTATAATTTTTTTTTCTGAATACCAAGTAACACCCTGTTGTAGAAAAAGATGTAAATACAGAAAATCTTTTTATAAAATCACCTATAACCTACCACTCTGTAATAAACAGTGTACACACTGTGGTATATTTATGTCTCATGTATATATAAATATATACATAAATAATTTGACTTTTTTCCCACTTTACTGCAAATTTTAAAAATATTATTTGAAATTATTCAAACCTATAGTTAATGAATGCATTAAAATGATTTACTGATATGCTACAATGTAAACCATGTACTTATTACTTGTTACTCCACTTGAGGACCTTTTCAACTACATGAGACACAATGTTATAGTCAACATGTGTTACACATTCTTATTTATACATCTCTGATTATTAGGATAGATTCCTACATATGATATTAGTGGTTCAAAGGATATGAACAATTTTAAGGCTGCTGATATACAAAATAGTACAAATTTACTCTCAACAGTATATGCTACCTTAATTGTAAGATATCATCATAGCTTTCAACATTTTTTTAATGTCTCATTTAAAATATTTTAGCTATTTTGATAAGTCAAAAAGATATCATGTAAATTTTCCTTTATTTTTTTCTAAAAAGTGTTCAAAGTAATTTATTAATAAGTAACATCAACAATAGCTGAAATGGTAATAAAATTCCCTTAACAATAATTTTATATACTACATATTAGTAGTCACATATTACAGATGAAGCAACTGAGATGCAGAGAGGCTAAGCAATTAATCCAAGAATATGAAGCTACTGAAGTAGATGTGTACAAACTAAATTCAAATTTTGTGACTTCAATTCCATGTACTCTCTCCACTATAACAAAACTGCCTTGAGGTAAAACACTGATTACTCGAACCCATTTTTTTTTTTTTAAATAAAGGAAGTGTAGAATTAAACTATGTGTACTGTTCATAGTACTAATGATCCTTGGTAGTTTCTCAATTATTTCAGGTAATGGTGAGGAAATTCTAAAGAAAACATAGAAGGAAGTCAACTGAATGAAATGTCTTCTCGCTCTCTCTCCAATTCCTATTACAGCAAAAGTGGTTATAAAAGTTCCTAAAAAAAGAATGCTAGAATTAACCAGTGTTTCACAATGCCTGTTTTAATTACATTATTTCTCCACCAGAAGTAAAGATAGAAAAGTATATAAAATCTGGAAAAAAAAGAAAATTTTTGAAAGCAAAAAAGTTATGTTAAGAATCTGTTATACGTCGACCCCAAAATTATGTTATACAAATTCTAGGTTGTGAAGAAACATGTGAATTGCAAATTTCAAATATATAAACAAAAAGAGCTCAAAAAATTATTCATCACATTTGGCCATTATATTCAGATGAATTTAAATTAATATAAAGTACATTTTAAAGAAATTACTTCATTATGGAATCACTGGAGGATATTGCTATAGGATATTTTAAATAAAAAATGTTCACTATAAAAATTAATTTTTGAAGTATCACTTCTCCCCTTCTCTGTGATTTATCACTATTTTATTAACAAAGTGATTATACATTTTGACTACAGGTATTGAATATCAATTCTAACCTATCTTTCTTAACACATGCCATATTCAGTATATACAATAATAAAGTAAATAATTACCTTGAGAATTTAAAGACAAGTTCTTTGACAAGGACCCTTCAAACAATGGTGAGTTCTCAAGTTGCTGCATTAAGAGACTTAGGAATTCTTGCTTTGATCCAGGCTGCTCTCTTCCAAAATGATCATTTTCATTAACATACACTATTTCAATTGTATATGAAGGATTAAAGTTCTGATTTCTGAATCCATCTAAGGCACTATTCCAGATATTGGCTTTGTTGATAAATACTTTTTTAGGCTTTTTCTTAACTTGGAATCCTAACTCTATAATTAGAGTTGAGATATCTCTTCTAAATTTGCTGCCTTGCCTATAAAACATGAATTTAGATACAGAGGTAAGTACTCTAAAGTACTTTACATGACATAGCAATTATACAGCCAATAAAAAAATAATAAGAGAAAAGATTAAAAGGAAGTTCTTCCCAAGTTCAGTTCAGTCGCTCAGTGGTGTCCAACTCTTGGCGACCCCATGAACCACAGCACGCCAGGCCTCCCTGTCCATCACCAACTCCCAAAGTCCACCCAAACCCATGTCCATTGAGTCGGTGATGCCATCCAACCATCTCATCCTCTGTTGTTCCCTTCTCCTCCTGCCCTCAATCTTTCCCAGCATCAGGGTCTTTTCAAACTCCCCAACTCCCACCCAAAAACAGGCAATGGTTGCCATGGGAACCAAAAACCAATAAGCTTAGTTCTAAATTCATGATTCCCTCTACCCAATCTTCTACCAAATTAAAAGCATCTAATGTTATAAATCATTTATAAGAATGGTGACAGATGACTATCCCAAATTTGATCAATTCAGCAGATTCAGGTATAAGAGCCAAGAGTTTAAACTCTTACTTCACTGGCCATATTTGCTTAACTGCACCTTATTTCATGTTCACTAGCTCCTTTAAAAGTAGAGCACAGTAATCTCTACTTACTACATAATAGACCTATAATTTTAAGAGATTACATATTTTAATTAGCATTCATAAACCCTCTAAATAGTACTTTTAGTCTATACTATTAATTCTTAAAGTGTAGTCCCAGACAAGTACAGCATCTGGAAACTTGTTAGAAACGCAAATTCTTGGGGCCCACAGCAGATAAACAGAATTGGAACCTCTGAGCATGAAGCCAAGCAATCAGTCTTAAAAAGACTTGCAGACAATTATATGGACTAACTCAGTTGTTCCCTGCCTCAGTTTCTCCATCTGTAGTTGGAATTAATGAACACAAAATAATCCAGTTAGAGGCAATGCCCATGGAACATCTTTCTATATCAAGTTGGGGACTATAGTTTGAAAAGCACTCTTTCAAACTACAGTAAGATCAGCCAATACTCTAAATGTATATAGAGCCAAACCCTGTTAAAATTTTCTCAAAATAAAGTTTTATATTTTTTTTCCAATTCAAAATACATACCTCAGCAGATCTTTACGCTGGTCTCCAGGTGACTGTCTGGATAATTTAGGTGAAGACTCCTCCAACAAACAATCATTTATTCCCACATTAGTGTTGGGTAATGCATGCTTTTTGGCTTTCTGGAATTCGCCTACAGATTTAAAACCCAATGTTAGCATAATAGACTGCTTCCAAGATGGTGCTAGTGGTAAAGAACCCACCTGCCAATGCAGGCAGACGTAAGAGACGCAGGTTCGATCCCTGGAGGAGGGCAGGGCAACCCACTCCAGTATTCTTGGCCTGGCGAGAATCCCATGGACAGAGGAGCCTGGCAGGCTGCAGTCCATAGGGTTGCACAGACTGAAGCAACATAGTACACATGCAAGCAGCATAACAGAAATACAGGAGAAATTTTTTTAATATTCATTTAATGAAACCATCTTTGTTCAAAATTACAAATTACCTGCACTGTAGAGAATACTTCTACATTCCAAACATTCCCAATTTTGTTCCCATGACTGTAGTGAGGAACAGGCTAAATGTGTTCCGCTAGAACCACAACACTGACAGCGCTTTATTTCCCATTTGCTGAGGACATAAAGAGAAGCAGGTATTTACATTCAGTATTAACTTAGTTTAATTTCAACCATCAGCACCACCACATGCCTCACTGTCCATCTCACACACACAACCAAAGAAAGGAAAATTATCTGATTTGATACTGTATTACTTTTTCCTAGTGCTTTTTTTCCTATTTCATTTATTACATTTGTAATCTCCCTGTTTGAATAGTCTCTTTTTAAAAATATTTATTTTTATTTCTTTATTACTGGCTGCACTGGGTTTTCATTGCTGTGCACAGGTTTTCTCTAGTTGTGGAGAGCGGGGGCTACTCTTCAGTTGTGGTGCATGGGCCAATCATTGAGGTGGCTTCTCTTGTTGCAGAGCATGGGCTCTAGGGCTCATGGGCTTCAGTAGTTGCTACACATGGGCTTAGTAGTTGTGGCACACAGGCTTAGTTGTCCCTAAGGCATGTGGGATCTTCCTGGACCAGGGATAGAACCAGTGTCCCCTGCATTGCAAAGTGGATTCTTAACTACTGGACCACCAAGGAAGTCCAATATTCTCTATCTAAAAATATGCAAGCTAAATAACAATGTGAACATGCACATACACCCAAGAATATAAACACTGGAAAGAATATGATTGAGAAGGAAAAAAAATTTTCTTTTATACTTGGAGATGATTATGCTCACAGGGAGACTGCTATGTCAATGTGTCTGATAAGGAAGAAGCATTCAGTCAATATACTGTCTTACCTAAAATACTATCTTCCCTATTCAAGGTAAGGAATTATTTCCTGTAATAAGCTTGCTCAGATACCTCAGATACTGTGTAGCTCACTGGGATCCAGACTGAGTACCTGACCTACACTCATGTTCTCTCATTTGTTCCCTGCCCGCCCGCACTCCCAGCGTGTTCCCCACTGCACTGTGACGTGTGCCAGTCTGCACCCACACTTTCTGTATGGCTGTGGGTTATGCTGTGCAGACTCCTCTCTGTCTGGCTATGAGTACATCGGTCTATATGGGGACAGATGTACTCCCTGAATGTATGGACACGTGGGTGATCAGAGAGGTAGCTGCAGAACTTTCCCCTCTGCTAGGTGTGGGCAAATCTCCTCTGTGGAAATGGCTGTATAGGGTTGTGTCATCTGTGTCTCCCTTCTTCCCCAGGTAGTCCTGCCAACGGAGGATGAAGAGAAAGAAAGATGACAGCTGATATAAATGCTTACACACCAGGCCCAGTTCTCACCCTTTACATGTAAAATTTAATCCTCATAATTTTAGAAGGTTGGAAAAAAGTTACCACCTTTTAAAGAAGAGGAAATCAAAGCAGAGGTGTAAATCACATGCCCAAACAAACTGACACTGCTAGTCTCAGAGTGAGGCTTCCAATCCAGTTTACCTGACTTCAGACCATGATCCTAACCACTACACCATGCTGCCTTTCAGCAAAATTACCTTCCGATCACTAGAATGAGAGGAAGTGAGACTGTAAAGGAAGCATTCAGACACCAAGAATCTGTGTCCTAGGAGAAAAAACAAAGTTGCTACCAGAAAGAAAACTGACTTTGGTAGCAAAGGATTAGATGACCAATGGTACACAAGAAAAATAAATAAATTTAATTATAAACAAAATAACCTACAATGGATTTAGAAAATGTCAATATTAATGAACATATTGCTTCTTAGAACTCTAAAGCATCTTACTGTCTACAAAGCACATTTACATACAGTCTCGTCTCTGCCTCAGCACAACTCTTGAGCGGGGTATTATTAGTGCTTACAAATGAATAATCAGGGTCACCAGATCAAGTAACTTAGGCAACAATACACATTACTCGACATCTTCAATGAGATCTCAACCCTTAATGAATCTTTAGTCTAGTGGCAAAGACAGATTTAAATAACATCAACTGTATTGTAACAAGCACAATGAAGGGAAAATCGAGCCTAGAACAGGGAATCAGTAGTAGCTTTTTGGGAAAAACCTACCAAAGCTGCTAAGCCTTTAGCAAAGTAAGGAGTAAAATCACCTAGCAAAATCACTTTCCATAAGAAATAAGGCTCCTATCATTCTGCTCTGCACCTTGAGTTTGTTTGCCATGTTACAGTTTATCAAAATTTCCTATATAAATTTCAACAAAATTAATTTTTTACTTTTTACCCTGTATCATAAAAAATAAAAATACTCTTGACTTCCAATACTCTATACACAGTGTGTGGGTTTCCCTGGTGGCTCAGAGGTAAAGAATCCACCTGCCAATGCAAGAGACATGGGTTTGATCCCTTGGTCAGGATGATCCCTTGGAGAAGGAAATGGCAACCCACTCCAATATTCTTGGCTGGGAAATCCCAGACAGAGGAGCCTGGTGGGCACAGTCCATGGAGTGACAAAGGTCGTACATGACTTAGTCACTTAATAACAACAACACAGTATGTACACAGAAGGCACAAAATGATTATCAAGATTACAGCCAATGTATACTGATAAAAGAATAATCAATAAATTTCAAATACCAAGCCTTATTTTTTTTACAGTGATCTAAAACAAATACTGACAGATAATCTAGTTTCTTAACTTCTAGAACAATGTCATCCAACAGAAATATAATGTAAATCATATACATAATTTAAACTTTCCTAGTAATCAGATTTAAAAAGGTAAAAGAAACAAGTGAATTGATTTGAATATTTCTGAAATATAATCATTTTGTCTGATGTAGTCAATTTAAAAAATTATTGACAAGATATTTTAAGGTCTTTTTTTTTTTCCTTAAAAAAGCAGAATTGCATCACTCCCAGAATTCATATGTTGAAGACCTAACACCCAGTACTTGACAATGTGACTGTATTTGGTGATAGGACCTAGAAATAGAAAATAGAAAATTATGGAGACTTCCCTGCTGCTCCAGTGGCTAAGACTCTGCTACACTCCCACTGCAAGGGGCCCTGGTTGGCCCTGGTCAGGGAACTGAATACCACATGCTACAACTAAGAGTTGGCATGCCACAACTAAATACAGAAGATTACACAGCTAAGACCTGGCACAACCAAAGTAAATATATATTTTTTTAAAGAGATGAAATGAGGTCATATGGGTGGGGTTTGAATCCAATGACTGGTGTCCTAATAAGAAGAAAAGATTAAGGCACAGGGGGGGACAACAACTAGAAGGAAGCCACGTGCAAGCCAAGGACAGAGGCTTCAAAAGAAATCAAACCTGCCAATACCTGTACCTTGGACTTGGAGCCTCCAGGATTGTGAGAAGACAAATTTCTGTTGTTTAAGTCACCCAGTTTGTGGTATTTTGTTATGGCAGTCCCAGCAAACTAAGATACATGTTAAATGTTCAATGTGTATTTTACGCTTTCAACACCTCTCAATTTGGAACAGCCACATTTCAAGGGCTCACTGGTCAACTGTGGCTAGTGGCTACAACAGTAAAGCTCTAGAAAACAGAGCTTCATGAAAACATACCACAAAAGTTACAATTATGCCAGCTGCAGTAATTCCTCTCTAAACATATGCAAATAAATATTTAATAAACGTACCTCATCTCAGATTAAAACTTCAAACACCCTAAGAGCAAAATACTTCACTAGCTAGGAAACCTACTTTCTCAAGTTGAAGGTTTTAAAACGGACACTAAGTACATATGAACTTTCCCATTTACCTATCAGGCACATTATAGTCTCGCCCTTCTTTGCAACGACATCTTCGGACATCACAATGCTCATAGTGCTGCAGAAGCTCTTGGTAAGCATTTTCCTCTAATTCCCAAGATGCGTCTCTGTAAACGAACCAATGTAAAATGGACTTTGGCCTTAAATGTTACATAAAAGGATATTAATCTAAAAATAAACTCGTTACAAACTTAGGAACAAGGATAAAATTTGTTCTTTTTTAGGATCAATCATTCAATTCAAAATATAAATCCATTAATGTTATCTTATCCTACAGTTCATTACTCTCAATGAATTTCAAATGTTAAATGAAAAATTAAGTAGACATTTTCTTAAACTTGTATTTCTCTTAATATTTCACTTCCAATTTTTAAAATTTCAAGTTTAGTACCACTATTTCTGGATTTCTCACCTTTAAATATTAAGAAAATTCTTCTCATACACTTTAAATTTAAACCACATCTTGATTCTCATATAATTTATACATACCAGTCCAAAGCCTATTATACTTGTGTATAATTCAATGAATATGGTACACAAGTGAGGTGTACAGTTATTAAGAGACTATTAACAACTAATGAGACAGTTAAGTCACAGTGCCTGGTCCCAAGAACTGGCCATCTGAGGAGGAGGAGGAAGTGGTGGTAGGGCAGGCTTTACATTTCCCTTTTTGAAATGGCTGCTTATCTATGAGTAATTAATCAATATAAATGACTATTTCCATTTTCATTAAATTCTACATTTAAAACATGTTTTCATCAAAAGGCTAAATGTAACTCACTTTTCAGGAATATGAATTCCCATTCTCAACATTTCTTTCTGAAATATATCACTATTATTGCATATAGTGCACCTAAAGAAAAACACTCCTGCATTTATTGCCTGCACCTATAGTGGAAAACAGAAAATACATGGTTAATTAAGATTATCAGGTTAGGAATTATATAGCTAACAGAACATGTGCTACTTTTAACAATATACTATGAAATTTTATTTATGTTAGTGGTTCATAAACTTTGTTAAACTAAGTTATCCCACTGCTAAAATTTGGAGATATTTCTCCCAGTGGGAAAAAAATATTAAGCCAATGAATTGACTGTTCTTTACATCTCTCACCCATGTGTTTCTCAACCTTTTGTATCTAATGTCATTCCTGTTCCCAAAAATTGTGTTGTCCATCACTCTCTGTGAATAAAACAGTAAAAATCTTTGGTTACTTAATCTAGGAAGGATGTTTAAATAAATGATACATATAAAGCATCCTTGGTTCTGTTTTTAACTCAATCTGTTAGTTTTCTTCCCAAGGAAGAAGCATGAAACCCATTCTTACTGCCTCAACAAATACAAATACAGAAGCAGCAGGCAGAAGATATTCAAGAGGAAGAGTAACCAATTCTCAATTTAAAAACTAGAAGCACACATTTATTTAATATTTAATCCCCACAATATAGGTGCCAAACACTAGGCCTGTACTAAAAACAAACATAAAATGACTTAGATTCTGTTCCAAGGAGTTCTTATGAGTAGGGATACAGTATAAAACTACTTTTAGAAAAAGTACATACAGTGAGAGAAAGGGAGAAGTACTGAAGTTTATTTAAGAGTCTGGCAAAAATGTCACAGGAATGGTAAGGTCAAAGTTAAGTTTGGAAAAAATAGAGATGTGCCATGAAAATAGGATAAAAGATGACACAAGGAAAGGGAACAGCACATATTAACTCTCAGAGGCAAAAAGAGTACATGTGATTGGGGAACTTACTCACAATATCCTTAAAGATTACATGCTGACCATACTGAACTAAGTAATAAAAACACAAAGATAAGTCAAAGTCAGTAGTGTGAAGAACTGACAGGGAATAAGGCATGTAGGAGCTAACAGGCTCCAGCAAAAGCCTAGTTAATAAAAAAAAGAAAAACTGTCTGAAGTGAAATCACAAAAGGCCTAAGATTCAAGGTAGCAAAAAAGGATACACAAAAAATATTAAGCAGACCTGAAAGACTTGGGGAATGATTTGTGGATGGTAAAGAAAGAAGTGAACAAAGAAGAATCCAGGTTCAAACAACTACAATGTAGCACACACACACCATGTGAGAGGAAAATAGCAAGTTATTAATGAAATCTCTGCTGAACCTAAAGGATCTTTGAGCAGTGGAAACAGAAAGAAAAACAGCAGACATGAAGGATACCAAGAAGACCACAGCAATGACGGAGAAATCCAAACTGAACAAGAATAGTGACAATTCTTTCCATATACAGAATGGAAAATCTATATCAATTTCTTTGATACTAATCTATAGTCTCTCCTCACAAAATCCTAATATATACAGCATTTGTAGAAGTCACAAATAAAATTTGCTTTTCTTGTTCACTCAGTCGTGCCTGACTCTTTGCAACCCCAGCAAAGAGCTGCAGCACACCAGGCTTTCCTGTCCTTTACCATCTCTTGGAGTTTGCTCTCACTCATGTCCATGGAGTCAGTGATGCCATCCAACCATCTCATCCTCTGTCGTCCCCTTCTCCTCCTGCCTTCAGTTTTTTCCAGCATAATGGTCTTTTCCAATAAGCTGGCTCTTTGTACCAGGTGGCCAAAGTATTGGAGTTTCAGTTTCAGCATCAGTCCTTTCAATGAATATTCAGGGTTGATTTCCTTGGATTGACTGCCTTAATCTCCTGGCAGTATAGGGCACTCTCAAGAGTCTTCTCCAGCACCACAGTTCGGCGCTCAGTCTTTTTTATTGTCCAGATCTCATACACATACATGACTACTGGAAAAACCATAGCTTTGACAATATGGACCTTTGTAGGCAAAGTAATGTCGCTCTGCTTTTTAATATGCTGTCTAGGTTTGTCATGGTTCTTCATCCAAGGAGCAAGTATCTTCTAATTCCATGGCTGCAGTTACCATCTGCAGTGATTTTGGAGCTCAGGAAAATAAAATCTATCTCTGTTTCCATTGTTTCCCCATCTATTTGCCATGAAGTGATTGGATTGGATCCATGATCTTAGTTTGCAGAATGACAAGTTTTAAGCCAGCCTTTTCACTCTCCTCTTTCACCTTTATCAAGAGGCTAATTCCTCTTTGCTTTCTGCCCTAAAGGTGGTGTTATATGCATATCTGAGGTTGTGGATATTTCTGCCAGCAATCTTGATTCCAGCTTGTGCTTCATCCAGCCCAGCATTTTGGATGATATATTCTGCATAAATGTTAAAGAAGCAGGGTGACAATATACAGCCTTCATTTACTCCTCTGCCAATTTTGAACCAGTCCATTGTTCTATGCCCAGTTTTAACTGTTGCTTCTTGACCTGCATACAGGTTTCGCAGGAGGCAGGTAAAGTGTCTGTTATTTGCTTAAAATTTGCTTAACCACATATAACTCTCATCCTACTGCATAGGTTTGTTCCTCCTTCAACTCTTTGTATTCATGGAGTTCAGAGATTAAAAAAACTTTTTCTTTAGGTATGATTATAGCTACCTAAACTGGGTAGACTCCATTTACTATTTCAGTTAAGACTTGTACCAGAGTGGAAAAGCCACTGAAGCTTCTTCAAGACACATGATTCAAGAACAAGTTCTGTCCGTGTATGCTCTAACCATGTAATAAATAATTGTTAATATTTACATCACAGACAGGTGTCCATGTGGCCATGACATTACACCTGCGTAAAGTAGACCTACATTTTTGTTAGTAGTACTATTTCTAGTTTTTAATGACAGAATTAGAAACTTAGTACTTTCACAGTTCACAAAAAGTCCTAGGCATACTAGATCAAATTGGAGAACCTCTCTGTTTCATTATTAACACAAAATGAGGCAAATCTTATTTGTCCTGAAAAATAACACACTACTATACAAAGTTAACAAGATGATACATTTGGCAGCAATTACATTCAATTCATTCAAATATAACACCTTAATTAAGATAATAACTTTTTAGAGATTCTCACATAATGTGAACTTCTTCTTCAACAGATAAAGATAGTACTTCATGATGTTGAGAATTACACTCTCTGGATCCTTTTACAAACACTATTTCATGAGAATTAATAGAATCTCTACTATTTACCCAACCAAACAGGCTCCATCCTGCCACTTTTAACTGAATAATACTAAAAAGAAGAGTTGAAGGCTCATAAAACAAACAAAGTAATCAAGCTTTACTACTTGGACTACCGTAGTACTATTAAGATTTTGTTGAAATATAAGAGGATTTACAACATCTCCTAACTTAAAAAAAAAAAAAAAACTTTTGTAGGTAATTTGTAATCAATACTAACATTTCATTTTACTAAATAATAATAAAAGCTAAACTTTAAAAACAGTATAAATTTAAGTGAATCCTTTGATAATTGGCATTATCAACAATAACTGCCTATCAATTGACACTTTCACACAAGTATATTACATATTTGATGTTATAAATAATTGGGATCTTTTTAAAATTTTAAACTATCTTCTGAATTGAAGAAACTGCAGATTATTTAATATTGTTTTATGATATTCAATTTACCTGAAAACTTGTCATCAGGTTTGACATACAAGGTGGCTCTCAAAGAACTATAATATATTTCAATTCATTGGACTGTAATCAGTTTAATTTCAAATGTTATGATAAAGTGTTTCTGTGTGTGTGCATGCGTGCACTCAGTTGTATCTGACTCTTTGCGACACCATGGATTGTAGCCTGCCAGATACCTCTCTACACGGAATTTTCCAGGCAAGAATACTGGAGCAGATTGTCATTTCTTTCTCCAGGGGATCTTCCCAACCCAGGGATCAAACTTGCCTCTCTTATGTCTCCTGCACTGGCAGGCAGATTCTTTACCACTGTGCCACCTCAGAAGCGCATGACAAAATGTTTACTAAACTAAAAAAAATAGACCTCTTAACATTAAATTATCCTAGCTTACAACTTATTATTTCACGTATCCTGGTTCTTCTAACTTTAAGCATATAAATAAACTTGGGAATTAAAGACTGTGCATTATTCTTTGTGATATACAAACAAAATCCTTGGGTAAAAACAAATTTTTTTAAGTGTAAAAATACATTAAAAGGTAGTATCTAAAGTATTTACCAAAACATTAACTGTATACTTCAACAGAGTAATTTTACATGTAAAATTTTATTCAATAAAGCTATTTTAAAAAGTTACAAGTAGTAAGAGCTAAAACACGTCTGTTCTAATTCAAATCAACAAGCAGCATACTTTATATCCGAAAATGTTTACACACTATCTTACCTGCAAACAGTCTCTATGAAACCAAGCATTCTTACAACAAGGACTTCGTAACACGCTGTAAGTTGGAATAGGCTCTATAAATTCCAAGCAAATGGTGCACAGTAAGGAGTCTCTACAATTATTAGATGTAATTATTTGAACAGGTCGATGTTTCCAACAAAATGACCTAAAAATGTAAATTAATTAAAAATAACATCTAATAAATTATAAAGCACAACTAAGCTAGCATTACAATTCATATCTAAAAGAGAAAATTCATTTGTCTCTTTCACAATTAACTTACAACAGGCTGGGGAAATGCCACTGTAAATCAGTCTCATCATCTATAAGCAAGGAGAGCTACATTTGCCAAATGTGAACCTTTTGGTGCTGAGATTCACCTCACAGAATTTCAGTAACTAATACTATGTTGAGAATTATGAAATATTGTTAGTAACAGTATACACAACATTTGTACTCAAACCTGAATCAAAGGAACTTATACTTAAAAATATTATTTTAATAACTAAAGTGCAAACAATAATTATTCTTAACCCACTAAATTTATTTCCATTTGCATTTTCTACACTGTAGTTTTCATACATAACAAACCATTAAATAGGTCAAGAGCACAAAGACTAAAAGAAAGAAATCACTCATGATAACAAACACCAAAATTCATAAAATCTTGATGTTTAGAGCTAAACTTAAGAAATGAATATTTTTAGGGGCATCCCAGGGCATAATAATTATTTTTTTGGACTGTATCAAATTTACATGTCTTCAATTTACTCAGTAAGAATACAGATAGCCCTGTGAAAGAAAAGTAAAGTATTAAACCTAAAAAGTAACATAAAATCTAGGATTATATATATAAGACAGAAATTTCTACTGAATGTGAATAAATTAACACTTCCATATTATAGTCTAGGGCTGAAAGCTAGAGGTGAATATTAATCATTAAGGCCATTACAGACATTGTAATTCTCTAAAATACACATATAACCTCAGTGCAACTTTGAAAAGAAATTTTACAAAGGAATGATATAATTAGAGAAATCCATATCCATTTTCCACTTTTCCTTTACATCTTTCATATTTGACAGTTAATTAACTCACGCAAAATTGCCAGTGAACTGGAAAATACATTCTCTCTGAAGTCCACAGGGGAAATGATAACTCCGTTTACATCGGGGTGCAACACATCCAATTGAAGCACCCGTTTTCTTGCAAACAGAGCACTTCTAGAAGAAAATATAAAAATAGGGATTTATAACGCAGAAAATTTGAGTACTATAGGTAAGACCAAGGTATAAATGAATATTCTTTGTGGAGAGTCTGACAATTACTTTCATCATACGAAAGCTGTGATTATAGTATATTAAAGAGATTTCCTGAAAAAAATTGTTTTACTCAGAAACAATCCAATCTAAAGAGTCACTCGTATCACAATTTCTGATAAAGGAAACATCTTTAATCTAATGTGGGTGAGACAACGAAGCTTCTTTTCCTTCCTACCTGCTAAAATATTTTAAACCGAAGGGTTTGTAAACATAAAGATTATACATGAAAGTCTCATTCAAATTTCAACAGAAAATACAGTTAGGAAATATTTATTATATATAGGACAACAGCAAAACAATTCTAAAAAACAATTTGTAAAAAACTGGCGAGGATCACTCTATCTTAAGCAAATGAAAAAGTGTTAAGATACCTATAGTAAGTAGGTTAAGTAGTGGTTCTCCAAAAGTTATGCTCAAGGCCTAATTCCTGGTACCTCTGAATGTGACCTTACTTGGAAACATGGTCTTTGTAGATATGTTAAAGATTTTAAGGTAAGTTCATCCTGGATTTAAGGTGGTCCCTATAAGTCCTTATAAGTAAAAAGAGAGAGATTTAAGGCACACAGGGGAAGGCCACATGGAGATGGAGGCAGAGACTGAGGTACGCTGCCACAAAGCAAGGAATGCCAAAGGCTGCCAGCAGCCACTAGCAGAGAAGCATGAGCAGACTCTCCCCCAGAGCTTCCAGAAGAAGTCAATCCCTCTGACAGCTTGATTTGGAGCTTCCAGTCTCCAAAATTCTGAGAGAATACATTTCTGTTTTAAGCGACCCAGTTTGGAGTAATCTTCAAAGCAGCCCTAGGAAATGAATACCACTGCCTCTAACTTAAATATCACTACAGTATATAAACAGAAAAATAATTAGATGAATCAATCATTACTAACATACAGAAGAGTACTTCACATACCTTGGAACCTCTGAGATGATACTGGCCACTAATGAAGGGATTATACTGTCCACCTGTCAAGCACTGCCAGGTTGTAGAAGGATACCTTGCTAACCTGAGTCTCTCCCTGTAAACTGACATATGGAATTCTATTTTAAGGTCACAAATCGAGACACCTCTTCAGGATCAAGAAATTCTCACAGGTTCACAATATACTCAGAGAGGATATGATGTCTTAAGAAAGGCTTTCCAAACAGTACCTGTAGAGGCCATCTTTCATGAAAAGTTTACTATCACCAGAAGATTGAGAAATTTTGATACTAATACTCTCACAAGGCCCATAGGTAAATGCCACTGTTACCCTTTTCTCCAAGGTTTTTTCCCTTATGCCTTAGAACCTCTACTTTATCACCAGAAGACTGAGAAATTTTGATAATAATACTCTCACAAGGCCCATAGGTAAATGCCACTGTTACCTTTTTCTCCAAGGTTTTTCCCTTGTGTCTTAGAACCTAGAACCTCTACTTTATCATTACCTCCCCTGTATCTTGGGCTTCCATAGTAGCTCAGATGGTAAAGTATCTGCCTGCAATACAGGAGACCTGGGTTCAATCCCTGGGTCGGGAAGATCCCCTGGAGAAGGAAATGGCAACCCATCTCAGTATTCTTGCCTGGAGAATTCCATGGACAGAGGAGCCTGGTGGGCTACAGTCCATGGGATTGCAAAGAGTTGGACACGACTGAGCAACTAACACACACACCCCTGAATCTTGAATATCCTTAAAAATAACCACTTTCATATCTCTGTCTCAACCAAAGTAAAATTCTCTGAAAGCTTCCCTTATAGAACTTCTTTTATGAAGCTGCATAGTTTCATACTCCTTAATTTCCAGACTTGGCAAGGAGTGAACATGAAATATAGATAGAGGTACGGAGAAGGATAAACAGAACATGTTTTAAGTTCTGTGCTGCAGACTGTAGGCCATTACTCTACCTTCAGACTTAAAAAGATCTGATCCTTGAACCTAATGTCACCTAACTTAACTTCCTCCAGACTTTGGCACCCTCCTCCCTATTTTAATTCTTGCTATCATTCTAAATGACTTCTGCATTGATAGGACAATCTTTCTTTCTTTTTTTTTTTTACTTCCTCAATTAAAATGTGTCAATGCACTTTATCTCCACTTTAGTGTAATGAAGAGACCCTCTCATCAGCCAAAACTGCTCCACCATGGAAGTCATCAATTCCAGTACCACATTCCCTGAACAGAAACCCCTGTACTTTCAATCTTCTCATTCTCTAACTCTCATTATTTCTACTCAGAACACATGGAGACCTACAGTCCATTCCCTCACATAATAACAGCCATCACACAGAAGATTCACAAACTGTAACTGAATGAATAAAGAGTTAAAAGTTCAGAATACTCATCTTCGAGAACAGGAGAAGGCACTGAACATAAACAAACTGTATCACAGGAAGAGCTACAAGATATGAGAAGACCATAAATTACTGGTCTGTATAGCTGTGTAATTGCCATCTCAAGCTATCAATCCAGCCCAGCAACTGAGGTGTAAGAATGAAAAGTAAATAACTGGATTGCCTCAGGATAGAAGGTCTGAAGAATAGTTGAGTGGAAGTAAGATTATAATTCTGATGATAAGAGTGGATGAAATGATGGGTAGGTTGGAAGAAGACAAGAAGTGAAATCAGTATTGCCACACATGTTATCCAAGGTTGGTTTAGCTCTTTCATTTGCAAAAATACAAAATGTTCTAAAATTTACTGTGTTTAACAAAAATAAGAACATAAAATCAATGTCTTATCAATTTATAGTAGAGAAAGTGATGGAAAAGACTTCCTTAATGCTGACAATATTTATGGTGCAATGAGTAAAGTAATTTACTTACCAGTTTAGAAGCCCTAGTCACTTCTTTCCTGATATCTTCTATTAGAAAACCATAAACTCCTTCTTCTTCTTTACCCCTCTGCCAAATTCCACTTGACATCAACTATGAATATATTCTCAATTAGAAAATAAACTCTAAGAAACTTGTTTGGAATAAAAAATATATATCTATAATGTTCCAATAAAAATGGATATAAAACAATTCAAATTTCAAGTATCTCTTACCTATAAGTTATTTTTCATAGTCAAAGTAAGAGGCTACTCATATTCTTTGATTTCAAAGACACTATATATCAACAGGTTATATAACCAAACTGGTTTCTAAAAAGTATCACAGAAAATAACAGGGAAAGGGAAGGAAGACAAACAATAAACACTTATGTTCAAGTTTTAGGTGGGAAAAAGTGTCAAATACTGAAAGATGTATATGTAATAGTAATAAATACTATGGAGATAATTATCAGTAATATTTCAGATTAACTATAAATCCAGCTGGATTCTAAATCATAAAAGATGTAATTATGGACAATCTATTGAATTACAGTTAATGAAAATAAATTTTTAAAAATAGGTTTTAACTTCAGTTTAAATATATTAAGGGTACATGAATCAAGGAAAAAGCATGAGACTGTGAATAAGTACTGGCTTGCAAACCAGGATCTGTGCCCAACTTTCCAGAGCCCTAGGCAAGTAATATAGTGTTTCTAATATTAAACACAAAAATAAAAACAACAGACTTGGTTGTTTCCAAGTCTCTCAGCTCTAATATTCCATTACCATTTATAATATTACTATACCGTTCACAATGAAATGCCAGTCTTGTAAGTGTTGAGCCAGGGTGAGCATGTTTTGGGATTACTACACTCATTAACAAAATAAGGAAGAACATAAGGGAAATTTTGATATGACCAAGTTAAATATATTAAATAACTCAATAAAACTTCAGACTTGTGATTAGAGGTTTTAATCAGTGTATCTTAAAAAAATCCCAGAAGGGCCATTGATTACTTAAGAATTGAGAAAAAAAAAACAAAACTAAAAAAACCAACCCACTGACTAATAGAAAAATAGCTCTCCTAATTCTATTACATAAAAAGTAAAATGAACTCTTTAGAAACATAGAAAGGTTTTCTTTTGTGATACAAACTATAAGGCTCTGTGTTGTTGTTTATTCACTAAGTCCTGTCTGACTCTTTTGTGACACCATGGACTGTAGCCTACCAGGCTCCTTTGTCCATGGAATTTCCCAGGCAAGAGTACTGGAGTGGGTTGCCATTTCCTTCTCCAGGGGATCTTCCTGACCCAGGGATTGAATCCACATCTCCTGCATTGGCAGGCAGATTCTTTACCACTGAGCCACTTGGGAAGCCCTATAAGACTCTAAGCCCTATATGACTCTAAGACAGATAATTTGAATGTCAACTTCATGTTCCCTTAAGTCTAGGTACAAAGTAATTAGGTCCCTAGACCAGTTTACAAACCTTAGAAAAACACCAAGAATTTATGTTAGATGATTACTCAAGGAAGCATCTAAGTTTTAACATGGATGCTGTTCTAAGAATAAAAATATGCCCCTAAATTTGTTGATACTCCTCGCTTAAAAGTGGTGGGAACTAATTTCCTTCCCCTTAACTGTGAGCTATAATTATGACTCACCTCTAACAGAATAAAGGAAAAGTAACAGTGGTATACAACTATAAAAACTACGTCATATAGTTTCATCTTGGTTTATATCTATCCCTTTCTTCTATTACTTGCTCTGGGAGAAGCCAGCTGTCATGCTGTGGGCAACCCTATAATGGTGCCCAGGAAGTAAGGAACTGAGGCCTCTTGCCAAGAGGCAAGAGGAACTGAGGCCAAAAGCCACAGAAGTGAGCCACTGGAGGTGGATACTCCAGTCTATCAAGCTTTCAGATGACCAAACCATGCTGACACATCAACTGCAGCCTCATGCAGAAAAGACCCTGAGCCAGAACCATCCATCTCAGCCAATACCAGATTTGTGTGCCCCATAAACCACTTAAGAACAGAAAGAGTCACAGATGTGGAAAAGAAACTTATGGGCACCACAGGGGAAGGGTGAGGGGGTGGGGAGAACGGGAGGCTGAGACTGACACGCACACTGTGACGTTAAAAACAGGACCCGCTGTCTGGCACGGGGAGCTACTCAATGCTCTGCACCCTACACGGGAAGCGAATCGAAAGAAGACGGGACACATGTACATATGTGTAACTGACTCACTTATAAGCTGCTCAATTTCACTTATAAGCTGGACAATTAGTTAAGCAGCAATATATATCTATTACAAGCGCCAAGGAGTATTGTATATACTCATGTAACCATAGCATCATGCTAAGGCAGGGACGGTACCACTAATATCTTAAAGCAGATTCAATGAGATGAGAAGTTGGTAGAGGGAATGGGGAACAAATGAGAGACAATTCTCAATATGTCATCATTTTTTCTTGCAACTGAGTGATCCATAAATTAACCTATATCCTTTTCCACAAATATTTATTACCTGTAGTCAGAATTTATCTTTTCAGGTTCTCTGTGAAAGAAAATACTTTTATTTTACTTCCTGAGCCTTCAAACAGGTCCTTTCTGAGAATTATCATTAGCAACAATGAAAACAACAAAGTTACAAAATGAACAACTCCCCTACACAACTAACCATTTTTTACTTTTTCCACTGAGGCCCCAAAGGGTTAGAAAAAAATAAGCAGGTGATGATGACAAGTATTTCTATGCATCAAGTAATTTCAGAATCTTAGAATTTTATAAATGAAAAATCTTATTTTTACATAGCAAAAAGAGATCCAGGGAAGTTAAATGACTTATCCATTTCTCAGAAACCAGCCATCAGGATCAAATTTTCTTCTTTAGAAGAATACCAAATTTTTAGGATTTAATTAAAAATTATACTCACCAAACAATAGTAATGTACAGTAAGATTCCATTTCTCATTAGTTTTCTTTTCTCCATATTTAATAGGACAGTCATCATTCTTTCGACAGAAAACACAAGCTAATAGTGAAAAAAGTAATAGATGTAAAAAAATTTAAACAAAACCCAAAAAAAAACCCCCTATGGAATTGGTGTTTCTCTCAACGATGTGTTCAGTTCTTTTTGAGAACAAATTATATTATATTGTTTTCAGTAAATTAAGACTCTCAATACCTACTTCTAAAACAATGTGACTTTACATTTTTAAATTACTCTTTTTAACAACAAATGCCAGTGTGTTGTTAAATTGGCAACTCATTGAAAACAACCACTTAGTAAACTCTAAAACTTCATCTCTCCACTAAAGCAATGATAATGCTGCCAAACCCATCAGAATCAACTTTTCAGAAACTCTGAAATCTGATTTAAAAACTTGAAATAATGAGAAAAATGCTTAATAAGAAACAAACTGCCAAAATTTGATGACAGATCTGTGGCATTTTAACTTACCTTCCTACTATCCCTCACTCTCCAACTGGGCAATGGCCTTAAGCCCAGGGTCAATATGCATTGTTCCTTAGGCCATATTCCTGGTGTGGACTGTCTAAGAGGAGGTAGTATGGACCTTGTTAGAGAAACGTGATTGTGTGTGTTCTGACATGTATGGTGGCTCCCCAGGGGATGGGCTCAGATGCCTGCCCTTCTTTCATCTGTGTAAGAACGTTCTCAGGGCTGGAGTCTGACTGTCAAAAGCATTTAAGACAAATATACTAGAGGCAGCAGCTTGAAGCAAAGGATAACAGAGCAAGTAGGCAAAGACCAAAAAGGCTAGGAAAGAAGAGTCTAGTAAAGGAAGACACATGGGGAGATAAGGGCTCTGAGAAGCTCCCATATATACCAGGGAATCTAGAAGGACATCACATGCCCAGGGCTGGATGCATGCTCAGAAATGACCCTAGGAACTTTAAGCTTTCACCTCTGGCTGATCTTTAGGCTTGTAGACTCATAGAGAAAGCCTATATGGAAAAGGAATGATCCCAAACCAGTAACTTTATTTTAGCAATAAAGAACTAGAAAAAGAACACACTAAACCCAAAACTAGCATAAGAAAGGCAATAATAGAGATAAGAACAGAAATAAATGACATACGGAATAGAGAGAATAAATGCAAAGTTGGTTCTTCGAAAAGGTCAACAAAACTGGCAAACCTTTAGCCAGAAAAATAGAGAAGACTCAAAACTTATAATGCAACTACAGAAATCAAGAGTGTGGTACTGACATAAGGACAGACATACAGATCAATGGAAAAGAGTCCAGAAAAATTATCTCAGGCATCAATGGTCAATTAAATTTTGAACAAGGATTCCAAGATCATTCAATGGGGGAAAATAGTCTCTTTAACAAAAGGGGCTGGGACAACTGGAAAGTCACATGCAAGATAATAAAACTGAATCCTTCTCCATAAGCTACACAAAAATTAACTCAAAATAGATCAAAGACTTAAACATAAGAGTCAAAACTATAAACCACTTAAAAGAAAACACAGGGGGAAAAAAATCTTCAAAACCTTGGTTTGGCAATAGTTTTTCAGACACCACATGACACCAAAAACAAAAGCAATAAAAGAAACAAAAAAAAGATAAACTGGACTTCATCAAAGTTTAAAACTTTTGTGCATCAAAGAAAACTATAAACAAAGTGAAAAGTCAATCTACAGAATGGTTAAATACATTTGGAAATCATATACCTTTTAAGAGTCTAGTGTCCAGAATGTGGTAAGCTTTACAACCCAACAAGAAAAACACAACTCAATCTTAAAATGGGACAAAGCATCTGAATAAACATTTCTCCAAAGAACATATGGCTAAAACAAAAAATCTCAAATAACAAATGCTGTCAAGGAGATAGTGAAATCACAATCCTCATATACTGCTAGGTGAAATGTAATAATAGTACAATCACTTTGGAAAACAGTGAGTAGTTCCTCAAAAAGTTAAACACAGTTATTATATAACAATTCCACTATAGGTTATATATAATATCAAAGAATTAAAAACAGATGTTCAAACAAATATTTGTATGTTAATCTTTACAGCAGCACTGTTCACAATAGTCAAAAAGGGAAAACAAATCAAATTTCCATTCATCAAACAAACGGACGAATGGGTTAACAAAATATACAATGACCATGTAATGGAGTATCTTTCAGCTATAAAAAGTAATGAAATACTGATATATGCTATAACACAGATGAGTCTAGAAACACTATGGTAAGTCAAAGAATGCAAGCACAAAAGGTCACATATTACATGATTCCATTTATATAATAGATTACATTATCCAAAACAGGTAAATCCATAGAGACAGACAAAAAGCAGGTTGGTTGTCTCCACGAGCTGAGGACAGGAGAAATGAGAAGTAACTGCCTAGTGGATAGTTTCCTTCTGGAGGGATGATAATGCTTTGGAACTAGACAGTGGTAACAGCTGCACAACTCTGAATGTATGAAGCGCCACACTTCAAAATAGTTAAAACGATGAATTCTACGTTTTATGTATTTTATCACAATAACAGTAATAAAACCTTACAGGCAAATTGCAGAGTCAGGGAGATTTGAGTTAAGACCTAGTTCTACACTCTTGATGTGTAACCTTGAACAGGTCACATAAACACTTTATGGTTCTGGTTTCTCGTCTTATAAAAAAATAAGGACAACAACAGCACTTACCTCAAACTATGCCTTAATGAGCATTAAATGAGATAATATATAGCAATATAATTAAACAGATATGGCACAAAGGTAGAACTGAGTGTTACTAATATAATTATCAATCCTTTCTATCTTATGATATTTACTTGTACATCAAATTTCTAATACCATACTAACAAAACAAGGAAAAAAATCACTAATTGAAAAGACTGAGTATCTCAAGGCAGTGAATCAATACAAGATGGAATGAACATGAATTCTAAATGACTGTATGGAGCATAAAGCCCCTATCTGTTCAATCTCCCCTAACCAATCTACACTGGAGTGTAACATGACCAAGTAATAAATGTTTACTATGTTAAACCATTAAAACCTCAGGGTTTACCTATTATAGCAGCTAATCTTATTTATCTTGTTTAATGCATGTAATCAAGAATGGATGTTACTATTGAAAATGTACTGTATCTGTCAACAGGTTACTCACAAAATAGATTCCAGGACTGGAAAGAAACCAATACTTAATACCGTGAAACATCCATCCTGTATTTGCTCTCCCTCACTCCAGCTTACTAAGCAGTAACTGGAAGCCCCTTCCCTAAAAACTTCAGCACCTCTTCCTCCCCAACACAGAGTAACTGACCACAAATAATTCCAGCAAACTGTCGTTTGATTATTGGACATCTTACACCAGCAACTCCCACCTTAACTTCTTCACCCCCAGAACCTATACTTTCAACTACAACTATGTATGCAGCTATCAAGAGGAAGAGGAATACAAGGAATTAGATGAGACTACAGAAGAGTCCTCAAAGTGAATGCTGAGTGGAGCTGCATCTGCTGCACGCTATGGGCTTGTGCTTCCATCTGTTTCCCTCCTCCCTTTGCCTGGTACCAAGGCCCTGGACACATAACAGACCAGGTTTCAGGCATGCATTTTTGTAAGTAGGTAACTTTTTATTTGTTCTTTGCATATTAACTTTAACATTAATAATTCTGTAAAATTGTTCCAACTTTATTACATTTATTAATACCACCTTCTACAAACGATTCTACACCTTCTACATAACCCTTCAGCAAACGATATTGGTTATGTAACAGTAATAAAACGAACACATTCATTCAAGTAAAGAGCTGAGACAAACTTAAGAAAAATACGAACCAATTAACAGTAATAGGTGGTATTTACATTTGACAAATATACGGAGGTGGTCCATGAACTACTAAGTTTCAGAACTATTAGCATAACTGACAGAAGTCTATAGGTAAAAGCAGGAAAGCAAAGTAGAGGGAGGTTGAAGGGCATAAATTTCCTTATCCAACATGATAGGCAGTTAATAGATACTCTATAAGTGAGAGTCAAGATAGAGTTTTAAGTGTAACACTTTTAGAGGCAATCAAACAATAAATTTTAAAAAGAGTAGATCACAGAGAAGTGGCAACTGAGTACAAAGTAACAATTTAACAATTTCATCTTCCATAGCAGCAAATCAATATACTATTTATAACTAATAAATGAAGAAAACAACTAAAAAGTAAAGTCTACATCTGTTTGAGGAAATGGTTGTGAGCATTAACAGGCAAGTTTTCCTTTTCATGTTAAACTTCTATACATTAACTGTTCTCATTTGCATTGTATCTTTTGTAAGAAGAAAAATCACACAAAAAGGTAAAAAAAAATCATTTATTAAATAAATAATACTGTTTTATTCAAATTCAAACCACATTTGATAAATACAGAATATACAAATAAAATTCGGCATATTATCCTTTCCTGGCAGATTTTTGTTGAAATTAATACATGAAACATTATACTTCAGTATAAAGAAACACGACCTAACCATGGATCAGGAAATTCATTCCTAGTGTTTGAGCAGAGGTCTAAAAGATTAATTGTAATTTAAAAAAAAGCAAGAATGATGTATCATAATATTTTAAATTTGAAAAATATTTTAAATATGATTACTTACTAGAATTCTGTGAGCCTCCAGGTTTATTTTCATTCATTTTACTAGGAAAAATAAGAATATACAATCAGACATCTTAATTTTAAAATTCTCAAATTACCCATTTTATTTAGATTTAGTCAATGTATGATAACAAACAAGCTGCATGATCACTTCTCATGCCAGTACTTTATTTCCTCACCTTTCCACATCTAAGACCAGTAATTTTCAACAAAGGTGGTAAATTCTGGGGACAGTGTTGAAATTGGAGGGAATGTTTTTTAGTTACCAAAAAAATTAGGATGACTACTGCTATTTACTGAAAAGGAGACCCAACTCAGGACATACCAGGAACAAAGAGACTTAAGACTATCAAATTTCTAGTGGTTTCACAAACCTACTATAGAAAATTCCATAAACACATGATTTCAGCACCTCACCTAAAATAAACATAAAAATTTTAACTTATAAACAATATTTAGTCAGTATTCCAACAACAGATTTATATTTGAGATTCAATCTCTTCAGCTTATAATTTCTTACCCTTTCCCTCTGCAGATGAATTGCAACTACTGCTTACTTAAGTTCATTGGATTGATAATTCAGAATGATTGAGGTCCACGTGGCTGTGTCTTGTCCTCCTCTTTCCCTTCAAACTATAAGGACCTGGGCATCTCTCTTGGTTCAATAATGCAATGAAGTTCAGTCTAGATTTTTATAATATATGTTCAGACAACTATAAGACTAAAGATTCTTAATCACAAGCCTCAAAACTCTGATCTACAACAAGTGTTTTCGCATCTTTACAAATAGAAAAAAATAGAAGTGAGTATCAATCTCACATACCAAAAAAAAAAAAAAATAAAGTAATACAGGAATATATAGTGCTTCATGCTAAAAAGCCTCCAAATATCACTGGCTGCAAAATGATAATCCTTAGAAAGATCTCCAGTGCTATCAAAACATGAACAAGAAAGGTTTTTCCTGTTTGCAACAATCTAATAAGTACTCTATATATGCTTTTCAAAGTGTATTAATACACAGTATTCCACACAGACCAATGGAATAAAAATAAAGAGCCCAGAAACAGATTCAGACTTTTCCAGTCATTTGATTTTTAACAAAGGTAACAATAAAAGAAGTCTTTTATCAACAAATGATGCTGGAAAAAATGGATCTCTGCATGGAAAAAAGGGAAAATTGAGATTCACACTTTACACCATAAATAAAAATTAGTTTCAAGTGGATCATAGATCTTACTGTGAAAGCTAAAACTATTAAAGTTTTAAAAGAACTTCATCAAACTTAAAAGATTCTACCCATCAAAAGATATCATTAGGAAGGTAAATTCTGCATGCCACATACTGGAAGAAAATATTTGTAACAGTGTGGCAAACAAAGACTTGTACCCAGAATACATAAAGAACTCCTAAAACAATACAAAGCAAACAATTAAGAAATGTGCAAAAAACATGAATAGACACTTCATGAAGCAAGATATACAAATGGCCAATAAACATGTAAAAAATGCTCAACATCATTGTTAATTAGGATGATAAAAACTAAAACCACTATGAAGCCTACTTTATACCTGTAACAATGACTAAGATTAAAAAATAAAAAGACCATAACATCAAACATTGGAAAGGATATGAAGCAACTGGGGAATTCTCATAAATTGTTGATGGGAATGTAAAAAATGGAATAATCATTTTGAAAAGTTCTAGTAGTTTCTTAAAAGTTAAACATATATACACAAGCACCTAGCCTTTGATGTAGGAATTTCACAGCCAGGTATACATCCAAGAGAAATAAAAAAACGTATAGACTAAAAACTTATATAAAAAATGCTCATAGCAGCTGTCTTCACGATACTCCCAAACTGGAAGCCTACAAGTCCATCAACAAGAAAACTGATATGCAAATTGCAGTATATTAATAAAATGCAATACTACTTAGCAATGAAAAGGTAACAAGTGCTGCAGGAAGCAATAAAACAGATAAATCTACAAATATGCTGTGTCAAAGAAACTGCACACTACTATTATCTACATTATTTCATTTACATGAAGTTCTTTACGTTTTTTTAAGTAAGTAACATCAGGGAAAAAAATATCACAACAGTGCTAGTCTTTCAACTGCGAAGATGATGGGAAGGAACTTAAGTAAACTTTCTGAAATATCCTACTCTTCCTAGGATGATCTAAGAAAGCAACTTTAGGAGAAGAAATGTTCAAAAAGCTCTTAATTCTGTAATTTTCAAGGAAACACCACCTTAAGCCCACTTCACAGCCCAGACCTAATGTTGATTCTTTTTACACATAACCTTGGCTTTGCGTTGACCCTATCAAAACACTACTTCATCTAAATTTCACTTCAGTGCCACCCTTCTACAAAATCCTGTAAGAAATCTATTTTACTCTTTGGGGCAAAGCCTTATGGTTCCCCTGGTCTGTGATCTCTCTCATTGCATTGTCAACAAACCTAACTCAATCACACTACAGGTTTATCCCTGGTGGTTTTAGGCCAGCTGGGCTAGAACAGGTGAAAGGCAAATGTCACAAACATAAACTGGGGAATCTGTTTAAAGGGTATATAGGAGTTCCTTTCACTATTCTTAGTTATTTTCTAAGCTTACCTGTACTTGTGTTAGTTACTCAGTCGTGTCTGACTCTTTGTGACCTCATAGACTATAGCCCACCAGGCTCCTCTGTCCATGGAATTCTCCAGGCAAGAATACTAGAGTTGGTTTCCATTCCTTTCTCCTGGGAAACTTTCTGACCCAGGGATCAAACCTAGGTCTCCTACATTGCAGGTGGATTCTTTACCATCTGAGATATGTGGGAAATCCTTTCTAAGCTTAAGATTATGTAAAACTTAAAAGTTACTCCCAAACAGGATAATGTTCCAAAGGTACTACAAAACTCATATTTTTGACTGGGTTCACATCAGCTTTCTCCCTAATCCACAGCAGGCCAATGATGATTTACTTCAGTCAAGAGTCTCTAAAACAAAACTTAAAAAAAAAAAAAAAAAAGAAAGAAAAGAAAAACTCACATATTTTTAACTGGATTTTATCATTTTCTTTCCAGTACATGAATTTTACGCCCTTCCAGGGCTTCCCTGGTGGCTCAGATGGTAAAGTGTCTGCCTGCAATGCCAGAGACCTGGGTTCAATCCCTGGGTCAGGAAGATCCCCTGGAGAAGGGAATGGCAAACCACTCCAGTACTCTTGCCTGGAAAATTCCATGGACTGAGGAGCCTGGTAGGCGACATATATACATATATACGTATATATCTCAGTATATACATATATATGTATATATCTCAGTAACAGCCCAAGTCTTGGTCTTAGAAATACTATCAAAATATTCCCCCCTTCCCTGAGAAATCATTAACAATTTAATGAAGAACTCCAGAAGGCCACTATCTAGACATATTCTGAGTCTCCTACATTGCTTACCTCCACTTGGTCAGTCACTGACACTCAGTTTGAATCTCCTCCCTTCAAAAGTTGGAGCCTAATTTCTTTTTCCTTGACTGTGGCTGTGCTTAGTAACTTCCACCAAAAAGTCTGGCAGAAATGACAAAGCGTAACTAGGTCATAAAAGGCATTATGACCTCCTCCTCTCTATCATGGATCACTTGTACTAGAGGAAGCTTACTGCCATATCCTAAAGACTCAAGATGCTCCTAGGAGAGCTCCACTTGGCAAAGAACGGAGGCATTTACCACAGTCATATATGTGAACCATTTTAGAAATAAACCATCCAGAACCATTCAGGCCTTTATAAGACTGCAGTGTGGTTGCCAGCCTAAGAGCAACTTCATGGAAGACCCAAAGCCAGAATCACACAGCTAAGCTATTCCCAAATTTCTGACCCACAGAAACTGACAGATAATAAATATCTGTTCTTATAAGGCACCAAGTTTTGCAGTGATCTGTTACACAGCAATAGATCACAAATAAAAGTAAGCCAGACTCCCACTCACTCTGAGAGGCTGTATTAACAGCTTTTTTGTGGAAATCTTAGGATTTTCAATAAATAAGATCCCGTTATTTGCAAACACATATTTACTTCCTCTTTTCTGACATAGATGCTTTCATTTATATTTCTTGACTGATTGCTCTGGCTAGGACTTCTAGTATTCTGCTGAATAGGAGTGGTGAGAGTGGGCACCCCTGTCCTGTTTCTGATCCTACAGGAAAAGTTTGCAACCTTTTACCATTGAGTAAAATGAGAACTGTGGGCCTGTCATCTATGACCTTTAAAATGTTGAGGTATTTCCCCCTTCTATACCCATTAAGTTGAGAATCTTTTATATGAAAGGATGCTCAGTTCAATTCCTTCACTCAGTCATGTCCAACTCTTTGCGACCCCATGGACCGCAGCACGCCAGGCTTCCTTGTCCATCACCAACTCTTGGAGCCTGCTCAAGTTCATGTCCATTCAGTCGGTGATGCTATCCAACCATCTCATCCTCTGTCGTCCCCTTCTCCTCCTGCCTTCAATCTTTTCCAGCATCACAGTCTTTTCCAAGGAGTCAGTTCTTCGCATCAGGTGGCCAAAGACATTTATAATACCATCAAAAGGACTGAACTATTTAATAAACATAACAAAGAGGTGCAAGATTTATATACTGAAAGCCACTAAACACTGCAAAAAGAAATGAAATAACCCAAATAAATGGAAAGAACTCTGTTCATGGTTGGAAGACTTGATGTTTTTAAGATGGCCATTCTCCCCAAAGCAATCTATATTCAATGCAATCCGTATAAACATCCAATGATCATTTCTGTAGAAGTGGAAAATCTGATCCTAAAATCTGTAAGAAATTATGAGAGCCTGAATAATTAAAGCAATGTAAAAAGTTGAAAGAATCATACCTCCCAATTTGAAAACCTGCTACAACACGATCATAATAAAAAAATGGTGAGACTGGCATAGGAAAGACATAGAGAAGAAGTTAAAAGCCAAAAAATAAATCCATATATCTATGATCAGTTAATTTTCAACAAAAATGTCAAAACCATTCAGTGGAGAAAGAACAGTCTCTTCAACAAATGGTGTTGGGTGCTAACTTTGGCAGCACATATACTAAAATTGGAACGATACAGAGAAGATTAGCATGGCCCCTGCGCAAGGATGACACGCAAATTCGTGAAGCGTTCCATATTTTTTGGTAACGATACCACTACATGCAAAACAGAAAAAGAGACACAGATGTACAGAATAGAATTTTGGACTCTGTGGGAGAAGGCAAGGGTGGGATGCTTCGAGAGAACAGCATCGAAACATGTATATTATCTAGGATGAAACAGATCACCAGCCCAGGCTGGATGCATGAGACAAGTGCTCGGGCCTGGTGCACTGTGAAGACCCAGAGGGATCGGGTGGAGAGAGAGGTGGGAGGGGGAATCAGGATGGGGAATACATGTAAATCCACGGCTGATTCATGTCAATGTATGACAAAAACCACTACAATATTGTAAAGTAATTAGCCTCCAACTAATAAATATAAATGAAAAAAAAAAAACAAATGGTGTTGGGCCAATTGGGTGGCCATAGTCAAAAGAATGAAGGTGGACCGCTATCTCATACTACACACAAAAATTAACTCAAAATGGTTTGAAGATTTAGCATGTAAGAGCCAAAACTATAAAAATCTCTGAAAAAACCATGACCTTGGATTTGGCAATAGTTTCTTATGTATGACACCAAAATCACTAGAAGCAGAAAGAGTAGACTGGATTACATAATCAAGAGAGTGAAAAAGAGAAGATAATCTGAAAATCACTACTTGATAAGACCCTGATGCTGGGAAAGACTGAAGGCGGGAGGAGAAGGGGATGAAAGAGGATAAGATGGTTGGATGGCAACACTGACTCGATGCACATGAGTTTGAGCAAGCTCCGGGAGTTGGTGATGGACACGGAAGCCTAGCGTGCTACAGTTCATGGGGTCGCAAAGAGTCAGACACGACTGAACAACTGAACTGACTAATTGACTTGATAAGGATCTAGTATCCAGAATATCTAAGAAATTCTTACAACTCAACAACAAAAAAAAAAACAATTGAAAAACAGAAAGATCTGAACAGACATTTCTTCCAAGAAAATAAATGGGCAACAAGCACATGAAGAAATGCTCAACATCATATTCCTTAAGGATATGCAAATGAAAACCATAATGAGATACCACGTGAGATCTGTGCTAAGGTAACCATAATTTAAAAATAAAAGGAAAACAAGCAAAGGCAAGGATAAGGAGAAACTGCAACCCTCATACACTGCTAATGAGAATGTAAAATGGTACAGCTACTGTGGACCAATAGTTGCTCAACACATCACAGAATTGTCACATTACCCAACAATCACACTAGGTAGTTTTGGACAGTTCCCTTTACGCCACTTTACTTTTATGAAAGACCCACATTATATGTGTTTTTGCTAACCAAAAAGAAATCCAAAAAGGATCTTCATCTTTATAAAAAAAAGATAATTAGTTCTTTATTATATCCCATTTCAGCCTACAAAAGATGTCATATGAATGCTCTACTTCCAGATGGCTGGGTAAGCCTGTACTTACTGAAAAGGTTTGAAAACAGATATTCAAACAAGAGGGCCTCCTGGTGGCTCAGCAATAAAGAATCTGCCTGAAACACAGGAGCTACAGAAGATGTAGGTTCAATCCCTTGGTCAGGAGGATCCCCTGGAGAAAGGAATGGCTACCCACTCCAGTATTCTTGCCTGGAAAATTCCATGGACTGAGAAGCCTGGCATGCTACAGTCTGTGGGGTCTCAGAGTTGGACATGACTGAAGTGACTTGGCATGCACATTCAAACAAAATCTTTCTCAAAAATGTTCGTAACAGCAATACAGACAATACCTAAAAAACAGAAACAACTCATCTGTCTGTCAATCAGTGAACAGATACACAAAATGTGGTATTATCTATACAATAGAGTTTTATTCAGCTATTTTAGAAAATAGAGTACTGGTTTATGTGACAACATACATCAACCCTAAAAATATACTAAGAAGCTAGAAATGAAAAGTCATATACTGTACTGTTGTTGTCCGGTCATTAAGTAGCATCCAATTCTGTGACTCCATGGACTGCAGCATGCTGGGCTTCCCTGTCCTTCACTATCTCCCAGAGTTTGCTCAAATTCATATTCATGGAGTCAATGATGCCACCCAACCACCTCATTCTGCTGCCTTCAATCTTTCCCAGCATCAGAGTCTTTTCCAACGAGTTGGCTCTTTGCATCAGGTGGTCGATGTATTGGATGGAGCTTCAGCATAAGTCCTTCCAATGAATATTCAGGGTTGACTTCCTTTAGGATTGACTGTATAATCCCACTTATATGAAGTATCTAGAATAGGTAAATCTACAGAGACAGAGAGCAGATTTGGGGTTTCCAGGGATGGCAAAATAGGAAATGTGAAGTGACTGTCTAATGGTGTGAATTTTCCTTTTGGAGTGATGAAAATGTTTTAGAACTAGATAGAGGTAATGGTTGCACAACACTGTGAATGTGTGAATACATGGCACTGAGCTATACACTTCAAAATGGTTACTCTTTTTCAAAAATTAATTTATTTATTTTAATTGGAGGCTAATTACTTTACAATATCGTAGTCGTTTTTGCCATACATTCACATGAATCAGCCATGGGTGTACATGTGTTCCCCATCCTGAATCCCCCTCCCACCTCCCTTCCCATCCCTCCCCTCAGGGTCATCCCAGTGCACCAGGCTGGAGCACCTTGCCTCATCCATCGAACCTGGGCTGGCAGTCTGTTTCACATATGGTAATATATATGTTTCAATGCTATTCTCTCAAATTATCCCACCCTCGCCTTCGTCCACAGAGTCCAAAAGTCTGTTCTTTACATCTGTGTCTCTTTTGCTGTATCGCATATAGGGTCACTGTTACCATCTTTCTAAATTCCACATATATGCATTAATATACTGTATTGGTGTTTTTCTCTGACTTACTTCAACTCTGTATAATAGGCTCCAGTTTCATCCACCTCATTATAACTGATTCAAATGCATTCTTTTTAATAGCTGAGTAATATTCCATTGTGTATATGTACCACAGCTTTCTTATCCATTCATCTGCCAATGGACATCTAGGTTGCTTCCATGTCCTAGCTATTGTAAATAGTGCTGTGATGAACATTGGTGTCTCTTTCAATTCTAGTTTCCCTGGTGTATATGCCCAGCAGTGGGAATCCCAGGTCATATGGCAGTTCTATTTCCAGTTTTTAAAGGAATCTCCACACTGTTCTCCATAGTGGCTGTACTAGTTTGCATTTCCACCAACAGTATAAGAGGGTTCCCTTTTCTCCACACCCTCTCCAGCATTTATTGCTTGTAGACTTCTTTGATAGCAGCCATTCTGACTGAGGTGAGATGGTACCTCGTTGTGGTTTTGACTTGCATTTCTCTGATAATGAGTGATGTTGAGCATCTTTTCATGTGTTTGTTAGCCATCTGTATGTCTTCTTTGGAGAAATGTCTGTTTGGTTCTTTGGCCCATATTTTGATTGGGTTGTTTATTTTTCTGAAATTGAGCTGTAT